CAAGAGAGCTCTTTGTGTTCTTTTGACATTGTTGTTAGTATTTCACAGGATTTTACTCCTCATATCAGGGTTTTCAGCCGAACACTTTTGTTGTCTTTTCATGCAGTGAGTAAATGTACATCTGTGTCCTTCTATGCTTTGCAGGGGCGTGGAGCTTCCTGTGGTTTGTGTGTTTCTGCCTGCTGGCCAGTCAGTGGGCCAAAACTCATGACGTCAGCGGTCTCCCAGAGGACGCCGCCCGTGCCACCGTGGCCTTCTCCTTCTTCTCCATCGCCACTTGGGTGAGCGGGAATGCTAAAACAGCTCATATTTGTATTCTCGTCTGAGTGAAAGCTTATTACCATATTTCCCGAAATATAGATTTGAACCCTGCATACGGTCAGTAATCAATGTTCAGTATTTATTTATGGCTGTCAGTATTCTCACATGATATCACAGGAAATCCCATAATGTATGTGGTTGGTGTGTTCAATTATGGTGGGAACTTTGGACATTTTACGCTTGAATCAGCTGCTAAACAGCAAACATTTTATCACTAGAAACTTTGATTAAATGTGTGTCATACAAGTAAATGTATTATTGTACTGACTTGATATTACTATAAGAGCTGAGAGCAAACACCCAACATTTGCTTTTTGTTTGTCTTCTGGACAAATCATGGGTTTGAGGCGTCCCACCATCACTTGAATGCACCATTCAGGAGGCTTCAATACCACACATTTGGCTCGGATAATGGAGTTCATTTATTTTTACGTAATAAGAAACTAAATCCATTGTTTGCAAAAAGATTAATCTCATTTGAATACATCTGGAATAGTTCAAAAGCTTTTAATTAACAAATTAGATCCACACATATTCTTTTAAACATCTCATTTCATTTTCAAGTCAAATAAAATGCACTTTGCATTATCAGGATTGTCAGTAGGTCAAATCACATGACCCTATGAAAACAATACTTGAACAGACTACAGGTGCACTGTGTTTGTTTTAGATCACGTGGATTCAGTTCCTGTCTTTTTGTTGCTACTGCTTTTTAATCAAATGCAACATGGGAGACTAGCTCTTGTAATACAAGAGGAGCTCTTACTCTAAATGTTCATCTGCCATTTTCAATGCAAATGAAAAAGAACATCATCCACAAATGAACATTAATTAACAAATGTTTTTATTGAACCAGCTCTTATGATGAACTGATTGTTCATAATATTCATTAATTGTAATCCGAGTTGATGATTTACCCATTATTGTTTCCTTCATCCCGATTGCATCAGTTACTACCCAACCATGTGTAACAGTTTAATGCAGTATATGTCATAGTGATGGATTACTACCCCCAATCTAAACCAGTTCAGTTAGAAGTTGATAAGAATATGTCCATCAGTCAAATAAGTCCAAAGTAAACTACGGCACATCCTCTGAAATGCTGTATAAAAACGTGAATCATTGAAAGTACTGGAAAAACTAACTGTAATACGTTTTCGTTGTGCAGGGAATCCTGACCTACTTTGCTCTGGTCCGTTTCCGGCGCGGCGTGAACGAATCGACCCTCCCGACCTACACAGAGCCTCCACAGGATCACCACACCGCCTACCCTCCCACCTACGCCCCTACCTCCTACAACCCCACCACCTACACCCCTACCACATACTCAACCTATCCCAGCAGTGTGCCTGACATGCAGCCGCAGCCTCCCTTCACCCCCACCCCCCCGCCGCCAGCCGACGCCGGCTACCAGCCGCCCAGCTACTGAGAGAAAGGGACGAGGCGGCGTTTCCTCTGTCGGCTCACTGATGGGAGCTACACTGCGCAGGCTGAGCTATATCATATTGATGTGATTTGACATTTGATTCAACAATCTTTCTAAGTGTTTTTCGACTTAAAAGCCTGAGCAGTGCAACTGCAAGGTGTAGATGAAAGACGCTGCTGTTTACGTCAAAGGGTCTCAAGTCAGATCTTAAGAAATCAGCTGACCGTTGAGATCAGTGCTGACTTTAGACCTGTGTGCAAAGATGCAACTTTTGTTTACCTCAAATAGGCTGATTCTGCAGAGGATAGGTAGTTCAATTGAACAGAGGAGGTCAAAGGTCATGTGATGTTGTGAAGAATACCTGTGACGGCTCCAGCTCTCTGTTGGAACCTGACTATGTGCATTTGTACATAGATCCTACCGTGCAAAGCTGCCATTTTAATGGTTGTATGTGCCTGGATTTCTTTTCTTATTTGGTTTAGCGGATGCTTTCCCTTCAGTACATTTATCTTGAGGACCTTTATTAAACTGTTGGGTGGGGTGTAATACATTGACAAATGATTTTGTGGGAGTGCAGTTGCAAAAAGACCAGTATAAGCCAAATGTCCACTTTCTGTTTTCGTTTTCTGTTGAATGTGGGTTCTGTAACGATCAGCAGTTAGGTTTCTTGGTCATAAAAACACATCTGAAAGAAAGTTTTGCCATCTATGTGCTTCATCTCAACTAGCTGTGTGTATAAGGCCACTCTTAGGTACATGAACATTCATAAAAAACCTTCCATTTCTTAAACAAATCAGTGTTGGTAAAAGTGCCGAACTACAGAGGCGTTTATAGTCAGTGCTGCCCTTTGAACTTGTAGCAAACATTAAGATAGAGAAGAGGGAGGAGAACGTACTTAACTGCTCTTATTGATCAGGATTATCTGCAGAGAATGTTCTCACCCTGAAGAAGAGTAATTTATTAACTTCTTGAAACAAAGCTCCCTCTTCACACTTCCTCCAAGAACCTCGTGACATTTAGGTTTGTTAACACTGAGGTTTTATCTCCGGTTTACTGGCTCCTTAATCTAAACTGCTGAAGAGCGACTACAGCGGACACACCGTCTTACTTTACAGATGAACACCTGAGCCTGCAGTAGTGGGACTCAAAGACCGCTGCTTCTCTTTGTTGCTTTCTGCCTCAGTGATATGTCTGAACTTTCTAGATCAGGTTCTGGCTGTTTCGGCCCTTACTGCTTAACTGCTGTTGTCTTCGGGTCAAATCTGACCGATTTACTACTTTCATCAATCATAACTTTTTTGTTTTACATTCGATTGCATTAAGGCTTTGTGATATCCTTCACGGTAGACATTTGAACATATAAAATTGCTGATCACCACTTTCATTGAATTTTGGATGATTTAGTCAACTTTGTAACACCCATGGTGTTCCCGAAAAGGAATTATTAACCATCCGGATCAGATCAAACACACACACACTCTAGATGTGCCCCCCCCCCCCTTATGTGCCCATCCCCCAATGTGAATCACACCTGGCACTCACAAACACACAGAACAATTTGACACATTTCCCGCTCTTATGGGCCCATCCCCCCACATGGATCACACCTGGCACACGCAATACATGTTCAGTGTCTGTTCTTTGTATATTTACTGCAGTTTTTCATGTATACCAGCAGTCTGATACAATATTTACAGTTTGAAAGGGTGTTAAATGAAATTTGGTGATGATTCATGTTTTTTGTGTTAATGTAATAGCAGTTAAAACAGGACCGGTCAAATTTGACCGTGAACATCAAAGTAAGGGGGGAAAACGAAGACAATAGGAGTGACGCTCAAGAGTTTGTCAGGATCAGAAATTGATTGTAGTTGTATTTATTAAACATGACGCTACTGTGGTACCACATTGAAGACATTTGTACAATACATGGTTGATTATAATGTGGAAAACAACGTGCATGACCTACTGAAGCCAAATATGATAACAATCTGCTGTTGATTTGTCTTTTGTGCCTTAAGGAGAGGAAATAAAGTCCAAAGGGTTTGTTGAATAAGTAAAATGTACCATGATTAAATATTAATGATATATCATGTTGAAACTATTCAATTATTATTCAAGGATTATTGGAATCCGATTATAAATCAGTTAAATCTGCAAAACTTTAAAATGTTTGTATCTTCTTCTGGTTAAGACTGAACCAACCTAAATGACAGTGAGTCTCTAAATTGAGCCTTTTTATTTACTATAAGTATTGTTGTTGTACCAAAAGGCTACAGCTCAATATATAATATACATTTGTAGCCCAAATACATTTTTCGTAAAGTTAAGTATGCTTTTATTTAGTAAGGTTAACTTGTATTTAATCAAGGTCCATGTTTGAGATGTGAGACTAGAATGATTTGTAAAAACTGGCACTTAATACTGCTTTTAGCTCGATTTGTTTTTTGTTATCGGTTTCAATGTTGTAGTTTTTTGGATGTTTAAGACATGTGTTGCAATGATTTCATATCATGGTGTAAGAAGCACAACGGGGATTTACTGGAGACCTTATTTGTTTATGAATAATATCAGGCACAGGATGTACAGTTACAGTACATTCAGCCAGGATGTTGATTTAGTGGTAATTCCGGTTTTCACTTTTTTTTTCATTCCAATCTTCCAGCTCACTGCAAGGCCTTCGAGCAGGATTGAAACAGGTTATTTTGGTCCTCTGTAGCATGTGACTGAGTTACGCAACAGTCAGTGTAAGAGTTAAGAAACATGTACTGCACGTTTTAAAAAGTTGCACCATTTTTATTTAAGAGGCCCTCTTGTGCTTTTTGCAGTTTCGCTTCCTGTAGTGTGTAATAAAGGTATTTGTGCATTTAAATGGTCTGCAAAAGCTAAAATCCCAAAATGTCTCTCCCCCATTGGATGCCTGTGTTTACTTCCGTAACATGGTGACATCACTATGGTTCACCCATGCTCTTATTGGCTAGCGCTCCAACACATTGTATGTAATAGACTAATGGGCAGGACATCTCTCAATCAAACCGCGTGTAAGCAGGGAGAACCAGACCGCAGTTCATTTCCTCATATTCCAAACGAGAAATTACGGTAGCAAATCACCCGGTTCTTTACGACCAGAACTATTAACGGGATACAAACCGGAGGAACCAGGCATGGAGGGAGGTGCCAGAGACAGTGGGTGAAACTGGTAGGTTTTCGCCTGTTTGGGGAGTTTATATATTGCTCGCATAAAATCCCCGGGTTTTTTGAGTAGCATGAAGCTGCAGCGTCGGAGACGACACTTGTAGAACCACACACACAGGTCCCGCGTCACGAGCACACACACAGGTCCCGCGTCACGGCGGCACGTGACGGAGCACGTTCACATGAATGTGAACGTCAACGCAGAGAATGTGAGTAATGTGAAGTGCTTTTACAGTTTTATTTGTTTAACATTAATAACAATTCCGGTGTCTTGAAATGAAGTGTGATTAGCCAACATTAACTATGATAGTGTTAAGGCAATACAAACAAACATCTGTTTGCTTATGATAGCTTCTAACCGTATTAAAGTCTCTAAAAACAACTATTCATTAGCTATAGCTTTCGGCAAAAGCATTAGCAAAAGCATTAGCTTCGTTAGCATATTTGATCATTTGTTTAATGAAACTAGCGTGATTTTGGCAAGCCCAACTAGGTGTCATAGTTGAGTAATTGAATCACTAATTACAGTAATAGTGTGAGTAATGTGAATCATGTTTTTTTTTTTAAGTTAACAACTATTCTGTTGTATTGAACAGCCATACAAGCAACAAGTGCTAAATGTCATCTGTTAGCCTATGATGACTCGCTGCAAAACCAACTGTTAACCATTTTGTTTATTTGTTTAATGAAACTGTATGTTATGGTTATGTTATTTGACAGAGGCTTTTATCCAAAGTGACTCACAAAAAACATAAAATAACCATAATTAACATTAGAATTTCAATACAAATAGTTACATAGTCAAGTTACATTACTTATTACATTTTTAACAGGGTAATTACTCATCTGTAACCTACTACATTTAAAAAAGTAAACTTCCCAACCCTAATGTTTAATTATAGTCAGCTAATTAATTAAACTTCAACGGATGACAAAAGCATGTCAATATGTCCACTACATTAAATCAGCAGTAGCCTAAGTTCTGTCTTCAGTGTAAATGCTTCTTTAATAGTCATTGTATTACAATTTGAATTCATTGTAAATAATCTTCACTGTGCTGACTGCCTGTTTACCGTTTATCAGACAGTGTCATCATTTTGACATGTTTTGTAATATTGCATGAGGTGTTTTAGTCAGTTATGTCGGCCTATTATGTAGGTTAGAATCTGTCGTGTCAGAATCTAACAATTAAGCCTAATTTATGTCTGTCTGTGAAATTGTTTCAAAATGTTCAGTTTGACCAATTAGGCTCTCTCTTTTTCAAGATGCATATTACAATCCGAGAGGGGAGATCCTTGCCGGACCTTCAACGGTGCACGACGTGTTGCAATGACTTCCACTGCCCGTTCTGTGTCTCTCGTTTATTCTCTCCAACAAAACACTGCAAGGTGAAAAGCCATCTCGAGAGCCACTTCCAGCGTGCAGTTCTCCATGAAGGTAAAGTTAGCTTACATTCTCTTGTGAAATGCAAATGGAGTTGCAATGTGTCTGCATTAAAAGCAGCCTAAATGTTATGATCAGTTCCATTTGAGCAATACATCAAAACAAGTCCTATGATTTGTTTGTGGTGACCAGTTACTTGATCCAGATGTTTGGTATTCATAATTTACACTTTTAAATAATATGATCACAAAATAATAATACTACAATTCTATGTTCTTATGTTTAAGGGTATACCATTCACAGATGTGGATTAAATTGCCGACCAGACTATCATTTTCACTGCTGCTACTGCCAATCCATGCATACTCGCAAATCTGGCTTTGTAAAGCACCTCGCTTTGTGCAAGGCAAAGCACTCTGCCATAACCCCCATCATCCCAGATCCAGCAATCCCCATCATCTGCACATCATGTACAAATCATGTGACGGAGAAGACTTGGGGTTTATCTATCAGTCATGTATTTAATGTTATCTTTTTTTGATGTTGATTTTAGGGCTTGCCACGCCAGATCTGTGGAAATGACTGCGGGATTTGTATGCTTATGGTAGGGTATCAGTTGGCACGTTTGCAGGCTTCTGTAAACATTGTAAATATAATGCTTTGTTTTCCATCTTCTCTGTTCCAGTACACTCTGTCCATTGTTACAAACGCCGGGTTTCAATTCCAGGAGGTTAGTTTAGGATTTGTATTTACTAAAGAAGTAAATGCCTACTTAAAGTGTTGCTTATGTTGCATCATACTGTTCATGTTGAAGAAAAATGATTTATTGTGGACATTGTGAATCAAAAATTGTCTTTGTCACTTTCTAATTTCATTCAGAGGGACATGCCTTTGATTAGGAAGTGGTGGTGTCTTCTTCTCATGGAGCTGTTTGAAATACAAGGGTATGAAAGCCCTTAACAATATGTGTGTTTTGATTTAAGTAACACTTTATTTTGAGGGTCACTTGTAGATGATCTATTATATTAGGTTAACCATGTACAGATCAGTAGACCATCAGTAACAAGAGCTGTAAGACTCTGGATGGCAATATCTGTTGAGATTATTAATGCATATCAATTGTGCACCAATGCCTTAGCCTTTCCCTATGCAATACTTTAGATGACGTCTTGTTCTTATTGTTTCAAAGGCATGGCCAAAGGTTTGCCTTTTGGACTCTGGAGGCCAGAAGCTTGCTGGAGGGAACCCTTCAGCCAATATTCAGAGTGCCACGACCAGAGAGGGAACAGCAGACCCCGCCTCACCCCCAGTGAAGAATCAGCAGACCCCGCAATAAAAATGTATTCTGAACTGAAATGCCTCTCGGTCAAACTGCTTGTTTATCTTTTGCAGGCTGTTGCATGAACACACTAACAGTTGTTTTTCAGTAATCTAGCACCTCTTCGAAGACACCTTTGATTTATTAATAATAATAATGAAACGAGAATTATGATACTGTAGAAGGAACAGTGTTTAACAGTGTTGTTTTCTTTTGAATAATAATGAAACGAGAATTATAAACATACCCAAAACTAAATTAAGTGTTGTTTAATATACATATAAAAGACTATATTTTTGAAATTCATTTTTATTCATTTTTGAAATTCTCAACTAAATTAACAGAATATACATATAAACATTCATGTGAACGTGCAACAGAATATGGTTCCCGTCACGTGACGCGGGACCTGTGTGTGTGGTTCCCGTCACGTGACGCGGGACCTGTGTGTGTGGTTCTACAAGTGTCGTCTCCGACGCTGCAGCTTCATACTATTGGTTTTTTTTGCTTTGTATGTCGGGGGCGGGAGATTCATGTGATTGGTTGTTGGTCGCGTTGCTCGCAAAAAATCCCCAAGCTTTCAGACACGCCCAGCTCCAAGATTTTTGAAAAGCTGCTGTGTGGACGTACCGAAAAATAAAGAGCTTTTTGAACATTAGAGCATGGAAACATGTCACAGTAGACACTAAATACAAATATGAACCTGAAAATAAGCATCATTTAAGTTCATTAAGAAACCACCATACATTTAGTTTAACAAAATAATTGAATATCTTACATTAGGCAGGCTTAAGATAAAGATGTTGAAAGAAACTAAAACTACATATTAAAACCACAGAGTAGTTAAACCTATGAAAGTTAATAAGTTGCTTAAATCATTGTTTATGGCCATTTAAGTGCAACTTTATATTATGAAAAAATTAAAATACATGCACCTATACAACACCTAATACCAACAAAGGAAATACATTATTATGTTCAAATTTAGTTATTTAGCAGTAACTTAGAGGCACCTTAAAATAACAGAAAAACATTTAGATTTAAGGAAAGCCACTCCAATGCGCACACACAAACAATTGATTACAGGATTTGTTCCCACTGCTCAACTTTTGCAGCAAGTCTTTTTTTTGTTCAAAGTTGGAGAGAGGAGAAAATCTTCCTGGGAAACGTAGAGTCTACAACTTTTCCTCCGTAGGCGTTTTGTGGAGTTTCGCTCTTGAAAGGAGCGCTGTTCTCTTTTTGCACCACCAGACCTCCGTAACACTTTCGACACACCGCCTGGTACTTGTCAGTTCCACCAATCACTTCCACCTGTGGCAGAGGAAACATTGTTACCAGGTTATAAGATTTCTTCCCCCGTTAATATACCACCAGGAGTCAAGGTGATGGACACAACTGATGATGAATTAGGGCCACTGTTGGTAAAAGAGGCAAATTCCCAAGAATGTTTTGGGATGTTCTTTGGGATTAATGTGTTATATTTCCGGAAGAGATACTTGAATTTTTCTACAAGACTTGAAGGTCTCATTTAAAAGAACACTAGATATTTTTGGTCAAATTTCATAAATGTCCCAAATTCAGAAGTCTTTCTGATAATTACACCCTCTCCTGCCTAAAATGGTCTTAATACACCCTCTTACACGCCATCTAAATCATTTTTATAACTACCGCTGAAAACACAAGATTTCAAATAACATATAGGCTTTTATTGAAATAAGTAACTGTTTGAGTATTGCGAACAGATTTTGGTATAATCTTGTTATAATATAATTCAATATATAGACACGCCATAGTATTGAGGATTGGCCTCCTCACCTCCTTCTCTGCTCCTATCCTCTTGGTGTAGGCAGCCTCTTTGTAACACTGCATGCAGACGGCGTGGAGCTTCACCACGCTCTCCGCTAGAGGGATGAGGTTCAGGATGTTTCCAAAGGGCTACAAGAATGCACAGAACAGCAGTCAGAAAATGGATGGAGGTTTAATAACATTACAAGGACAGAACACTATAGAGAGTGATAATGAGCGCTGTTAAAGAGTGCTGCTCATGCAGATTGTTCACCGTCCTCGCTTAAGAATGTTTTTATTGTCTTGGACTTTTTCCAGACAGAGGTGCATTATCAGCATCCACAGTGTCTCAGTGATGGTGAAATATACATCGAGACAAACACAGATACTCACTTTTCTCTGAAAGGTTCCATCCAAGGCAGCTACAATGACTATCTTCCCTAAATTGGCCATTTCTTCACAAAACTCCACGGTGTCTGTAAACTACGATAACACAAAAGAAGCAGGGATTGGTTAGTGAGGAATCTGTCCCAAGTAAGACATACTGGTTTCTACAAGTGAACAATATAAAGAAAGAGAAAATGTGAAGCATATATACACTTACAAACTGTCCTTCATCTATTCCAATGACACAGGCTTGTAATGCCTGAGGCCGCAAGTCTCCAAGACGAGTGGCTGGTACAGCTTCCATTATGTTTCTAACAGATGGAAAGAATAGAGGGGGGACATTAATATTGTCACAGATTTTAAAATGTATCTTATACTAGTAATACATCGCAAGTTACTTTATGCAGGAGGTGTAACAAAATAATTACTTAAGACACACCATAACGGAAGTTTCTGGAAAAGGTTGACACATTTTAAGCAGCAGGACGTAATGAAACGGGAAGTGAAAAGAAGATTGATCTAGTAACAGTGATAGGAATGACAACAAAGATGAACCATACTTGGCAGGAATAAAACTAACTGGGAGAAATATAGCTGAGTTGGATCACGGACAAACTTGGCAATGTTAAGTTAGTGGATGTGAAGAGAAGAGGACTGATCATTGTGGAGTGTGGTTCACAAGCACAACTAAAGAAAGCGTTGAGATTAACAACAATGGAGGAAAACCAAGTGTCGAGTTTCCGATTTTCTCTAATCAGAATTCAAAGGTATCAACAGAGTACCGTCTTCACTTGATGCCAGTAGATTCAACATGTGTGACACTCTGCACAAGGGAGTCTCCCAGTTGGTATAGTTTTGGCACAATACCGTTGTACATACCAACGTTAACAGCAGCCTCGTCTGTGCACATGGCGACCAACTTTGTCGTCCAGTGATCATGCCTCCTGGAAGTGCTTCAAAGATCCGTCTTTTATGGCCTGCGCAGTTCGGTCAGTCCAAGAAAGTCTGAAGCAACTCGCCGTTGATGGACACGGACACAATGTAAACGATCTCCTGCTCGGTTTTTGTGATGTCCTCAGATCCATGAGAAAGCACCCCCGAAAATTCAGAAGACTTCAACTTGAGTCTCAACTCCCCACTGATAGTTTGCGCGATGGTCTTCATTCTCCGTGTCCCCCCCCTTCATGCGAGTGATAGGCGCTTCCGAGATTTACCCCTAGCCGCTTCAGTAAAGGAATATCCTCAAAATGGGAAGACATGGGACGTGCATGTTTAGCTTTATGAAAGTCAAGGAGAAAAGAGCAACCGGTCAGATGGGGACCTTACGTTACCCACCGTCCTGGACACTAGCTTACCCACCGTCCTGGACACTAGCTTACCCACCGTCCTGGACACTAGCTTACCCACCGTCCTGGACACTAGCTTACCCACCGTCCTGGACACAAGCTTACTCCCGCCCGACTTGCCATCTTCGTCCTCGCTCCCGGAGGAGCAGACTTTGTCGCCCCAAACACCGCCTCGGTGGCCCACATGTCCCAGGGGACCTCTGAAAAGAGAGCCTGCCCGGGTACATCTAAACAATATTCAAGGCTTTATTGCCATGTGCAGAGTAGATAATATGGCAATGAAAAACTTCAGTCCCAGGCTCCTCCAACAATGCAACATAATATGACATAAAACAAATAAAATAGTTCAAGGAATAACAGAATAGAAATAAAATAGTGCAAGAGAATGTTGTAAGATGTGCAAGTAAATACAAAATAAAATTGAAATAATTTCAAGAAGAGTTTATATACACGTAAATGGAATATGATATATAGATGAATAAATGATAAGATGCAAACAGATGAATGTTTATGGAGGCACTTTACAGAGCTCAGGTGTTGAATAGTCTTATGGCCTGTGGAATGAAACTGTCTCTGAGGCTGGTGTTTTAGTCCAGATGCTGCAGTACCGCCTGCCAGACAGCGACAGACAAAAAAGTTTGTGCTGGGGTGATGGGGGTCTTTGATAATCCTGTGGGATTTCTTCCTGGGCCGCTGGGAGTAGAGGTCCTCCATGGATGGCAGCTCTGTCCTGGTGATGTGCTGTGCAGTTTTCACCACCCTATGTAGAGTCTTACGGTTGAGGGCGGTGCAGCTGCCGTACCAGGCCGTGATGCAGCCGGTCAGGATACTCTCTATGGTGCACCTGTAGGTCAGGATGCTCTCTATGCTGCACCTGTAGAAGGTCAGGATCCTCTCTATGCTGCACCTGTAGAAGGTCAGGATCTTCTCTATGCTGCACCTGTAGAAGGTCAGGATCCTCTCTACGGGGCACCTGTAGAAGGTCAGGATCCTCTCTACGGTGCACCTGTAGAAGGTCAGGATCCTCTCTACGGTGCACCTGTAGAAGGTCAGGATCCTCTCTACGGTGCACCTGTAGAAGGTCAGGATCTTCTCTACGGTGCACCTGTAGGAGGTCAGGATGCTCTCTACGGTGCACCTGTAGAAGGTCAGGATCCTCTCTACGGTGCACCTGTAGAAGGTCAGGATGCTCTCTACGGTGCACCTGTAGGAGGTCAGGATACTCTCTATGGGGCACCTGTAGGAGGTCAGGATCCTCTCTACGGTGCACCTGTAGAAGGTCAGGATGCTCTCTATGGTGCACCTGTAGGAGGTCAGGATACTCTCTATGGGGCACCTGTAGAAGGTCAGGATCCTCTCTACGGTGCACCTGTAGGAGGTCAGGATCCTCTCTACGGTGCACCTGTAGGAGGTCAGGATCCTCTCTACGGTGCACCTGTAGGAGGTCAGGATCCTCTCTACGGTGCACCTGTAGGAGGTCAGGATCCTCTCTACGGTGCACCTGTAGAAGGTCAGGATCCTCTCTACGGTGCACCTGTAGGAGGTCAGGATCCTCTCTACGGTGCACCTGTAGAAGGTCAGGATCCTCTCTATGGGGCACCTGTAGAAGGTCAGGATCCTCTCTATGGGGCACCTGTAGAAGGTCAGGATGCTCTCTATGGGGCACCTGTAGAAGGTCAGGATCCTCTCTACGGTGCACCTGTAGGAGGTCAGGATCCTCTCTACGGTGCACCTGTAGAAGGTCAGGATCCTCTCTACGGTGCACCTGTAGAAGGTCAGGATCCTCTCTATGGGGCACCTGTAGAAGGTCAGGATCCTCTCTATGGGGCACCTGTAGAAGGTCAGGATGCTCTCTATGATGCACCTGTAGAAGGTCAGGATGCTCTCTATGGTGCACCTGTAGAAGGGCAGGATCCTCTCTATGGGGCACCTGTAGAAGGTCAGGATCCTCTCTATGGTGCACCTGTAGGAGGTCAGGATACTACCTGTAGAAGGTCAGGATGCTCTCTATGGTGCACCTGTAGGAGGTCAGGATGCTCAGGAGCGAGGAAATGAAAAATAAGAGAAGTGAGAAAGGGCCCATGTTGAACCTCCTCAGCCTGCGGAGGAAAAAGAGCTGCTGTCGAGCCGTTTTGGTGATGGTGTGAAGAGTCCATGTCAGGTTCCTCAGTGATGTGGACACCGAGGAACCTGAAGCTGCTGACTCTCTCCACCGTAGTCCCATTGATGGCGATGGGGGCGTGTCCCTCTCTCTGCTGCTTCCTGTAATCCACAATCAGCTCCTTGGTTTTGCTGACGTTGAGGTGGAGGTTGTTATCCTGGCACCAAGATGTCAGGTTTTCGACCTCCTCTCTGTACGCCGTCTCGTCGCCATCGGTGATCTGGCCGATGATGGTCGTGTCGTCAGCAAACTTCACGATGGTGTTGGAGCTGTGTGTGGCCACGCAGTCGTGTGGGAACAGGGAGTAGAGGAGAGGGCTGAGCACGCAGCCTTGAGGGGCTCTGGTACAAGAACCCAACTCGCCTGTACAGTGGGGTAAGGCTGTCATTTTGCAGCTCATGGTATAAAAAGTGGGTTATTTTGCACTGTAGTTAAAAGGTTGTAGTATAGAATACTGTTCCGTTTTATACCTCACACATATATTAGTACTCATTTGAGATAAGAGTACAAAAAGTTAAGCTTAATTATGTTTTTTCCTATATATTCCGTTAAGCCAAATTGTAAATAAATGTGTTAAAAACACCTACCTGGCAATAAACCTGCTTCTGATTCTGATTATAAGTGTTTTTGGAAAAGGCAGGTTATTATTTATCCAGTAGTGGGCAGTAATGCAACGTTTGGATTCCAACCGCCTCTAAAAATAATCCAAGAAGAAGATAAAATGAGAAGGAATGTCACCACTAGAGGTCCCCTTTTGCCAAGGTATCAGGACCACAAAAGGCACACAGTATTTCTTCCTTTCTCTTTAAAAGCAAATAATACAATCCTATATTTAGTTTAAGTCGAAATAAAGTCTACTTTTTTGGACAAAATAATAATTTATTTCCTTGTAGAAATATTTTAAGCAATCTTAGCTTTACATTGTTCTTTTGACATTTCTATTTACTTAGTTTGTTAAGTGCAAACATTTTATGTTACCTTATGTATCACTTGTTTTTGTAGGGAAATTGCAAAAACAGATGTGCAAACATTTACAATTCAGAGCAAGGTAACAAAGTCTTAAGATCTTTCATTTTTGTTATATTCACAAACACAAAGCATACACACTGGTATATTTCTGTAAATCAATTAAAACAGGGTACTCACTTGTCATGTGTTGCCACGCCTGTGTCAGAATAACGAGTGTCCTTTGCATACTTGATCACCAAGCAGTTGTACTGGGCTATCTGGAACCTGCGCACTCTCCTCATCAGTTCAGTGCTTCACAAATAAAGATAATAGTTTAGTTAACGTCAGAAGAAACATAACTGTACATTATAAATGACATTTCCTCTTTAACAACAATTTCAAACAACATTTTACTACACCATAAGCACGAGTCAACATATATTGTGATATTGTTTAGTATAATGTGCAATATCGTTTTAAAGTGGTGCTACAATGTATTAAAAATTCAAAGCCGACTACAGAACTTGTTATTCATAACCTCAATAGACAGCAGCTGGGTAAACAATGGAGGATATTTGGCGGGATGTTCAAGTATGAGCGGAATATATTTTAAACATTACTTTAAAATGTTGAAACTGAATGACAACAGCGTGCAACTGATAGAAAAGGAAGTGCATTTTTACTGTTTTATGGATTAAAAACTCACCTTTTGCCTGAAAACATTGGTCCAAAGATTACCTAAAAACAAGAGTGAAGGGCGGTTAGTAAGACTAAGGAAGTCGGTCAAGTTAGTACAGCCTATGGCCAACAACACACATATAATTGATTTAATAAGACACATAACTGTAGCGAATACTCAGTCCTGTTTGTCCAATTTAAAAGGCATAGCCTACTTTGTTCACGTCAGCAAATTGATGGGATGTAAATTGAGGCAAATAAAAAATAAATAAAGTCACTAACCTGAATTTGTCCCCGTGCTTTCCTTGGTGAATTTGGCAGAACTCTTGGGAAATCCACACAGTCCATTTTGACTTAAATAAGCTTTACTTAAGTAAATACAGTACACAAATAACATATAAATGTAGTCACACAGGACAGTACGACTGAAACCGACTGTTAAATATTTCGCGCGTTTGCAGCTTCGAGGAAGTTTATAGACCAATGGTCACAGAGTCACATGATTCTTGAACCAATCAGCTTCCACGGTAATTCAACGGATGTGACGACTGACTTAACTGACCAATCAGCCAAGTCTGACTCCCATGGTGGGAAACGTTTGTTTGGAAAAATTGGGGGAATAATCACCCCGTTCCCATCCTCTTGTTGAGCCTCATATTATATCACTCAGTCAAACAACCTCAAAGGAAGAAGAGCATTAAAGAAATATGAAACTTTTTTTTAAATCAGACAAATATCTTTGCATGATTTCACTTCCTCAGTCTATGGTTTGTCAGAGAGAGATTGCTATGAAGACAATATATTCAGTAGTTTTCCCTTCCCCCTCTCTGCTGTAAACACGTTTTCAAGGTCTCGCCAGCAGTTACAGGGAACCGTTCAAACTGAGCTTCAGTCTAAAGTGCAGTGCTTCAGCTGTGGCTCGGATTTATCTGCCTGCAGACTTTGGAAACTCCAGGAGAAAACATGACACACTGGACTGATCTGAAGAAAGATGTAAGAGTGGTACACCTTTTATTTTAATCTCCTCTAGTATTATGATAGTGTTGTGCGCAGAGGTGGGAAGTAACTAAGTACATTTACTCAAGTAGTGTAAGTACAATTTTGAGATACTTGTACTTTATATGAGTGTTTCCATTTTATGCTACTATGTACTTCTACGTCACTATAAATCAGTGGTAAATAGTTTTATTTTACTCCACTACATTTACTTAATACCTAATACCAGATTTTGATTTAATGATGTGAAATATAATCAACTCTTAAATCAGACTTTAGTTACACCTTGAGTAAATACATAAGCTACCCTGCAGTATACAAAGTCAATAAAACTAGCTGCACCTTTACCAGCTTTGATAACACTTTAATACATAAATAATTATAATCAAAACATATAATATATATTATTCTGAAATTGACCTATCTGCATAATGAGTACTTTTGGTACTTTAAGTATATTTTGATGCTAAAACGTTTCTACTTTAACTTGAGTAACATTTTGAATGCAGGACTTTTACTTGTAACAGAGTACTCCTACACTCTGGTACTTCTACATACTTGAGTACAAGATCTGAGTACTTATTCCACCTGTGGTAGTGCGTATGAGAATTATAATCAGTGGTGGAGGAAAAGGCCAAACTAGTAATACCGATATGTGGACGTTAAAACTAAAGTAAGTCTTGCATTCAAAACTGTATTGGGTAAGTGTCAAAGCATTCAAAATATAGGAGTGGCAGTTGGTAATGCATAATAAATCTGAATTATTAACTCATTCATATTTACCATGAATAATCTAAATCTGCGTAGCACCTAATATTATCAAAATAACTTAAGTAGAGTATAAAGTAGCTTTCAATATTTGGAGTAGAAGGAAAAGTACTAGAAAAAGAAAATGCTCAAATAAAGTAGGCTTCAGTTACTTTAAAATGTTATAATTATAAAACATTTTTTAGTTATTAATACAAATAAACCATAATACCATGTATTATAAATGTTATATTTTAATAAAATGGGCATATTCTTACTTGAACTGTTATGTTTTTAGTGCACAATTTTAATTCAACTGTTAATGTTTATATAAGTATTTTTATTGAATTTATTTAGAATTAGACACGGGTATATTGACAAAAAGTTTAACACATACATATAAGTCAATTTGCTTTGTGTAAAATGGTGCTTACATAAACATAGTAAAAGGAATGTAATTGTAAAAAAGGAGTAATTATATAACTGTTATAAAACATCTTGCTTTTTGAAACTATAACTTTTTTATTTATGTTTAGGCTACAAGAACAATAATATACTAGAAAAATACCAATCAATCAATGTTTATTTATATAGCCCAATATCACAAATGTTACATTTGTCTCAGTGGACTTCACAGTTTGTACAGAATATCAGTATGACAATAGGACACCCTCTGTCTGACCAATAAGTACATACAACAGAACATGACAAGTTACCCTGAAGCATAAAATAAATGCAGTATTACAGAATAATAATAAAGAAAGGTTGCTCCATTTTACTTCCTTGCATGTTTTCTGTAGTTATATTTGTCTACTCTACATCCTGCACAATGCAGTTAAAACGGCCCAGCTCTCAGCACTATATGAACTCAGAGACTGAAGCAGGGGGCTAATGCTACCAGGGGAGGGCGCTGTTCACCGTGTTCCTCTGCGGCTCATGGGGGTCGGTGCCTCGGCTCTCATGGCTGACAGCAGTCCCTCTGTGTGACAGGAGCTCGAGAAGCAGTACTCCCCCAGCCGGTGGTCGCACAGGATGTCTGCAGACGACGTGATCAAGGCTCATGTGAAGGCTCTGAAGGAAGGTCGGTGTGTTTTGAAGCTAACATGCTAATTAGCAACAATGCCCATAAATCCGGTTATTAGCACACAGGGCAGGCCAGGGCAGCGTCAGAGCAACACAGGTGTTCAGATAAACTGTAACCCCGTGGATATCTGTCAGTGTCGGAGAGTTTAAGCCCTAAATAGGAGATATCATTTGTTTAAAGATATTTGGAAACGCAGGCTCAAGCTATGAAAACAAATGTCAAACGTTTTTAAAATGAATTAATAGGCTATTTTTAGACTATATTTGTGGTATAGGCCTACTAATGTAGGCTATATTCCTTGAACAACTTCAATGTATGGAAGTCGTCAGCATAAACAACAGAGGCTATAAAAAAGCCTCTTCTTTACATATTCTATTACAAATGTACTTAGTGAGACATTCATTAAATTGGGTATGCATGCTGTCCATGATTTCGCAGCGAAAGCTATAAAAAGGATGAGGGTCTTTAAAATATGTTGCTCTTCCTTGTTAATTTTTAACCAGAAACATGACTATTGAAGTGTTTAACATTTTCTGTTTTTATTTAACCCCATTGAGACATGTTCTGGTGTACAACTTTACTGTGAATATATTTTGTTAAGTAAAAGTAATATATTTTTTTTAACTAACTCTAACATTTCGTACATTTATTTATATAGCACTTTTCAACACGGCAATTCAAAGTCATAATAATAAATGAATAATAGTGTGTAACAGAATAAAAAAACATGTTATTAGTTATTGACTATCTATAATTGATGAGTTTTAAGTTTTCTGTAGTTTGATTGAAAATCGGTTTCTTTATAAGTATAAAAGGGGCGTTCTCCGTTCAGCCATATACACTGAACAAAAATATAAACGCAACACTTTTGTTTTTGCTCCCATTTTTTATGAGATGAACTCAAAGATCTAAAACATTTTCTATATACACAAAATAACCATTTATCTCAAATATTGTTCACAAATCTGAAAAAATCTGTGATAGTGAGCACTTCTCTTTTGCCGAGATAATCCATCCCACCTCATAGGTGTGGCATATCAAGATGCTGATTAGACAGCATGATTATTGCACAGGTGTGCCTTAGGCTGGCCACAATAAAAGGCCACTCTGAAACGTGCAGTTTTGCTTTATTGGGGGGGTCCGAAAACCAGTCAGTATCTGGTGTGAGGGTTAGGGTTAGGGGTAGGGTTAGGGTAATGTTGTGAATCGAGTGGCCTGTGTTCGTCGTCCATAACATACGCCTGCCCATACCATAACCCCACCACCATCATGGGCCACTCAATTCACAACATTACCCTAACCCTAACCCTACCCCTCACACCAGATACTGACTGGTTTTCGGACCCCCCCAATAAAGCAAAAATGCACGTCTCAGAGTGGCCTTTTATTGTGGCCAGCCTAAGGCACACCTGTGCAATAATCATGCTGTCTAATCAGCATCTTGATATGCCACACCTGTGAGGTGGGATGGATTATCTCGGCAAAGGAGAAGTGCTCACTATCACAGATATTTTCAGATTTGTGAACAATATTTGAGAGAAATGGTTATTTTGTGTATATAAAATGTTTTAGATCTTTGAGTTCATCTCGTGAAAAATGGGAGCAAAAACAAAAGTGTTGCGTTTATATTTTTGTTCAGTGTATATATAATATTATGTTAGGATATTATCAAGTGCAGCCTTTTAAAACATATGTGGTTCACAAATTGTGAATGTATTTATGTCAAAATCAGTCAAAATGTGAATTCATGTCCCCAACTTATTTTAATGTTGACTAACTCATCATTCCATGCTTATTATTATTCTGTTTTTTTACTTTTATGTATTTATTGCATTTTTTTCTTCACAAACTGATATTGCTTCACGGTGTGTGTCCAGGTACGGAGCGTGCCCGTGGTCTGGCTCAAACGTTGCTCAACGTGCCGTATGGGGAGGGAGATGGAGAAAAACTAGATGTCTACATACCCATCACCAACTCTTTGGGTACATACATGTGTAACATATGACATATACAGACACATATTTAATGTGTAGGGGTTTAACTGACCTGATTCTCTCTGTTTCAGATGTCCCCCTTGTTATTTACCTACATGGAGGCTACTGGCAGTTTCTCAGGTACTGCATTATACTCTCTCTTGCATCTCAGTTTGATTTCAATTTCTTGCTCATGATTTTGACATTGATCCTTTTTTCTCATGCAGCAAGGAGGATTCAGGATTCATGGCTGTTCCACTCGTTGGTAAAGGTGTAGTGGTGGTTGCCGTCGGCTATGACATCGCCCCCAAAGGTACAGATTTTCAATTCTGACTAGGTTGTGGAAAGTAAGAAAAAATGTTATGTATATGAAATGGGGATGATATCCTTCTGCTTGTGTCTGTTTCAGGCAACATGGACCTGATGGTGTCTCAAGTGCGCCGCAGTGTTGTGTCTGTTGTCCAGCAGTATTCTCACATCAGGTACCTCTGCTTGTTATCGGTGATACTTATTACTGAAAACATTCATCTTAAAAGTATAATATGTAACTTTTTCAATTACAAAGGACTGGATCTCCTTTATATATTTGTATTTATCTCTATACCTGTGCGATTCAAAATGTTTCCAAAAATGTTAAACCTAAAGAAATATACATTTTCAATCACAGTAACAGTACGTTTCATTTGGTTCCCTCCAATCGTGTTCTATTTCTTTTGTGCATGCGTCAGGATTGAAGCTGTCATAAGTGTACTCTTTATCCATTTTTAAGCCACAATTGTTTTTTTTAAATGTATATCTTAACCAGATGAAGGGTTTTAGTCATCAGGCATCTTGATCGGAGAAACAAGCTGAGCAAACATTAGCCATAGCTAACTGGGAAGCTTTGTGTCTGCTGAACTGCTTCTGAAAAACACAGATTTTAACAGGAAGCTGTTTTCTCTGTGTTTTACTGCTTTCAATCACCGGTTGGTTTGTTTTTGAGAGGAGGAGATCTTGGTGTTTTGTTTGTCTCCCAGCTAGTAAAATATGTGGAGCAATGATCGCAATAGCAGTTACAACAACTCCAATGATCCCATGCTCCTTCCATGTTTTGCAGAACTCTGACCTCTACAAAAAGCCACAAATCCACTGTATCGGTTACACTTCTTTTAATCTGTCCATCAGCGGCCTGTACCTGTGTGGTCACTCTGCCGGGGCTCACCTGGCTGCCATGGTCCTCTCCACTGACTGGTCTGAGTACAGCATCACTCCTCAGATTAAAGGTAAGGTCCGACAGGTGAAATGCGTCCAACTGACAAACACTAAATACTTTAAAAGAAGCAGACACTCAGAACAATTAAGACCAATCCAGCTCATGTGATTTTTTATCTTTGTTGTATTTTCTCTAATTGTCTTGTAGGTGCTTTCCTTGTCAGTGGAATATTCGACCTGCTGCCCATCCTGTCCACCTACGTCAACGAGCCTCTGAAGATGACAGAGTACTTTCCTTTCTGCAGTGCATGTTCCTTTTAAGTGCAATTACATGCACTGTAGAGATCTGATTGCTACACACCTTTTACAACCTACCTGTGCAGAACCAGGTTTACATAATTAGAGTTCTGCTGAAAGAGACCAGATCTTAAGCTGGTTTATGCTATATGAGTACAGGGACATTGGCGGGATTCAGTAGTTTTTGTTACCATTTCTGGTACCACTTTACAATAAGACTACCCTTATAAAGGATTCGTGATGGGTTTATAATTAGGTTATTAATTAGGTTGTAAACACTTTATTAATCATTAAGAACCATTTATAAACCAGTTCTAACATAGTTTTAATACGTCAACACAGGCTCACTATTTGGCAAGATGACTAAGCCTTATATTGGCTACTTAGCGAGAATCAACTCAGTGAGCAACAGATACCAAGGATGCTGGCTGTTGAAGAAGACGAAGTAAGCTAAGTAGCCAATATAAGACTTAGCAGTTCAGATAAATGTGGGCTCACTATTTGGCAAGCAACCGGTCACAGTTGCCCTGTTTATCTCATGTCTTATAAAAGCTTATTAATGATTTATAAAGTGTTCACAACCTAATTAATAAATGAATTACAAACTATTCGTAACCCTTTATAAGGGTAGTCTTATTGTAAAGTTGTACCCAATTTGTTATTATGGACATTTGCAAGTCAGATAATACAGAACAACTTTGGATCGGTTCTTCCCAATCCATCTTAATTTGGAATATCATGTGGAAGCTATACATTTTCTTTGGGTCATTTACCTCTCCAAACTCCACCGATCATTGAGTTGCATAAATCCTTTTGTGGCTCCCGGAAGAGCTATGCAAATTGTGATAAACTATTCTATTAACATCAGTCTTAGTTTATAAATATTCTATAAATATTTAATTTTTTCCAACAAAATCAGCTATGCCATGTATAATCTTTACATGATACTACATTTTGAGCTCCTTTAATTCACATAACTACTGGACCAATAGTGAACTGCAAAGAGAAGAGCTTCCAGACTAAAAATGAGATCATGATCCAGATGAGGAATCAATGTAGTTTGAGTTAATGTAATGTGTTATTTTCTTTGTGGAAGAGATCTGTAAGGGTGTGTCTGTGTAATAATCCTGTGCTGGTCTGTTGTACCAGTCCGTATTTGACTCCTCTGTCCCCCGGGTGTCTCCTGTTGGCAGGGAGGTGGCAGTGAGGAACAGCCCCAGTCAGCTGGTCCCTCAGCTCAAGCTCTCGTCCTCCAGCTGCCACATCATCGTAGCCGTCGCTGAGAACGACTCGCCGGAGTTTCGCAAGCAGTCAGAAGAATACTATAAAGTCAGTGCTCCTGATGAACACTATTACTGTTAGATGTTAAAGGTAGTATTTATTTAAGGTAGCGCTGTCTTGTGAGCAATACAGTGAAACAGGCAGGATTGTGTAGTGTGTGCATCCCTGTTTAAAGTCCAAACAATACCTTACTATTAAAAACATAGCAAACAAGCGCTACTGGTCAACAACTCATTGGGGTTGATTTTAAAGGTTGCAGATAATTATTATTTTTATCATCAATAATCAGATATTTTTACAGATGAATGGCTTTGTTTATAAAATGTCAACAAATAGTGACACATTTTGAACCCAAGGTGAACTTTGATTAATTACTTGTTTTGTCCACACTGTTAAAGTATACAATTAAACAAAATCAAATAAAAACCGAGACAGGTAACAAATCCTTTACCTTTTTAATTTAGGAAACTGTAACAAGACAAAATGTTAAATTTTATATTTGAACGTTAAACAATTAATTAGGAACAACATTTTTTTAAATAGATGGATTAAATAGATTCTATCATTTTTAAATCAATATTTTGTGTCAAAATATTTATAATAAGCGTATTGTGTCTGGGATCATTTTAAATGAATGACTTCCTCACTGTACAATTACCCTTTAATTACCCTGTTGCTATTCACCATGAGCTAATAGTTTTTTGTGATTTGTAAGCATTCTGTGAATATGTATTATTTTCTTACCTCTGTCTCCTTGCTTTAAAGACTTTGGAGGCGTCAGGACTTGATGTGACCTTGGAAGATGTGGCCAACACAGACCACTTTAGTATCATCGAGCAACTTGTAGATGGGGAGTATCACCTGACAAAGGTACAAAGACTAAAAAAACAAAACATGATGAATGTTAATGCTATTTTCCATCATTTCTTTCTGTACTGACAACAGCAAAAGCCATTGTAGTATACTTACGTTTTTTAAACATCAAACCCATTTGAAGTAGTTTCCCACACAAAAATCTTGGTAGGAGCAGTTGTGTTTTGATTAATTTCTTTTTTCCTTCGTAGCTTCTCTTGGAGACGATGGGGAAGAGCTGAGGTGGCAGTCTTTGATCCATCATCTAATATCCACATACCTCTGTATCCACATGCACCTCAGAACAGGGTCATTGTGAAATGATAATGATAATATATGCATTATTTCAGGTTTGTACAACAGTAAATGTACAATCTTGCATGGATTGGTTTGACTAGTTAACTATCATTACCTCTATGTTCACTGTAGCTACTACTGTCAGAACCCGAGTCACTATAAGGATGGTGATTGTAGCAAATTCTACTACTTTTAAACCTGCTCATATTCAAACAGACTATTAACCGACCATAGTGCACAATGTTATCATCAAGAAGTACTGTTCCACCGGCACACTGAGAGTTTTAGAGCTCATGATTAGTTTTGGCATATTTCCAGTGTTTTGTAAAAGGGTGGGTCTGTCTCTTTTGTGATTTTCGTTCTTGTGACAATCTGAACCGCCACTTAAAGACCATGGGTAGGACAACAATACTAATTTCGGGAGTGCTGATGTATCATACAAAAAATAATAAAGCTTTTGTTTTGTATACACATATCTCCCCCAGGGAAATTGAATGAACACTATATATTTGCACTGTTTATTTGAGCCTAATATAGAAGATAACTGATATTTAAATGCACATATTTTTAAAGATCAAATGAGACAAAATGTCCCTGATGCACATTGTTACTGCGCTTGTTCTAGTATCTTTGGTAATTGTTTACAAAATGTGTTAATCATTACTGTAGATTATAGAGAGAATCATCTCAATAAATATATATATTTGAAAATCTCTGTAATGATGTTATTTGTTTTTGTATGCATACTAGTAGAAGAGATTTGCTTTAATTTGATTATAGTGGCATATTATATAATGCTCCAAAATAAGATGGTAATGTCTTTGGATAAAAGTGTATTAGGGAAATGTTTACCACTGATATAAGGTAGGCCCTGCATCATTACTATTGTCAACCTGTCTGGAAACCTTTTTTTATATATATACCTGGCTTATCCCAAATAAAGTTTATAAAATTCCCACAATCTAAACAAAAAACCAAGGTAACTTTATAAGTCAACTTCATGTAGCTAAAACGAATAAAGTCTTAATAAAACAGCCCAAATAATACCTTAATACACGTTATTCTGTTTAGTTGTACTTTAAGTTGTAGTAGTTGTGAATTTGTAGTCAATAATACATCATATCAGTGTTAATTATTTGGATTGGTTCAACATCATTTGCTGTTCAGTAGTTGAGGTTTTGGGGGCAGTTTGGGAAGTTGAGTGTTGACGACATCAGTTCGTCTCCAGGCAGGAGGAGCTAATCGCCCGGAGACCACAGCCCATCAAATATGGCCAGTCGGTCGAGCTTGGATACTCTCTGCATCAGGTAAGCCTTAAGGTTTTTAAAGTCACAAAATGATGACCTGATGACTCTTACCTCCGTTAAGCGTCCTAAGTCCAGTGAATAAGAGTGTTAGCAGTTCTAACGTTAGCATGACATAAGAGTATGCTAGCAGTCTGAGTTGCTAGCTGGTGTTAGCTTCACGGCTAACATGTTTAAACGGACCGGTGTAGTTCCAACTCTTCATAAACAAATGCTTAGCTCTCTTTATATTAATCGACATTTCAGTATTTCTGATGAAGGTCATGGTTACACTTCTTCTGGGACTGAAGTCAGCGTTTTAAGGTTGACTTTTGAACATTTTCACTTTTTTGAAAGCCGGTCAAAGTTTATTAGTGTTACCGGGAGTGCACAACACCGGCTCGTCGGGTCCGTCTGTCTTGGTGGCTGGCAGGCTACATTAATTTACTTATCAAAAGGGGAATGTTGCTGCAGCTTTAACGCTATCTTGTCGGTTCTACAAGGACTAATGTTTGTTCTCTTTATTTCTCAACATAACAGTACTGTACACAATGTCTTGAAACCGTTGTTATGTGGGCGGTTATTTACTACTTGTCTGTCTACATCTTCTTTTACCATGTTAAACATGAGTTACTATTTTGTATTGGTAAAAACAAATGTGTGTATTGAGCTTAATAGGTGTTGGATCTGTAGTGTCACTAAAGGTCTGACAAAGTGACAAAACCAACAGAAGACATACAAACATTTGCACTATGGTGGTTGTCCCTTTTTAATTATCCACTTAATGTGATATATGTATTACAATGCCCTCAAAGGCCACTGAGACATCCCTGTCAAACCTCTGATGCATATCAGTTAGAAAGAAAACGAATGTCATAGGGTGACACTGAGACCATGAGAAGTGGTTGAATGCTCCAAAAAAGCTTCTAGGTGAAAGTTATGTTTTTCTTTTGTAGGAATACATCTGTAAATATTAAATAGGGACACTCTTAAGTTGTAACCTTTGGCTGCTTAATAAACTGGATTCATTGATAATATGAATACGAAATTATACAATTTATGCAATTGACATCCTCTGAAAATTGGTGTTAGGGTCTATGACGAGCACAACTCAGGAAACAGTCAAGATTTAAAAAAGACAAACACACCTCTGGAAAAGAGTGCTGCCCTTGTTGTGACCTTAAATGACACAGTGGGCATGAAACATAATGGAGACTTGGACGTATTAAACCATCAGGGGATTTAGACTTATATTTTCTGTCTTAACATCCGTCCACCATTTCAATCTCTTCAGTCCTCTTTGGAAGTGCAACCTTGGCTTTTTTAAAAGTGGTTTCAAAACCCTTTGTTCAAGATTCACTGTGTTCCCCCGCCGAATAATCAATTACTGTACTCCCATTGTTATTCTAACAATCACACAGTACACCTTCTTTTTATTTAAGCCTCCCCTTTTCCTTTTTGGAGTCAACAAGAAGGGGTGGAAACTTGAGATAGGGTAATGGAGAGAAAAGGAGGAGAGTCTGAAGATAGGGATCAGTTATTCATGTGGGTCAGACGGAGGGTTGAAGTAGACCTAACGTTTATTATGGGATGCGTGCGAAGGAGAACAGCATGATGGTTACAGCGTGTTCAGGAGACAAGAGGCAAAGGAAGGGTGAATAATTTAATTCATCATACAGCGAGGCAGTGTTTGGGTCTGTGCTGTAGAGAGACGGGGAATAGGGGCAATGCGTACAATAGTGACAATAAGGGCATTATTTGTTGGCCAAGTTTGACATGTCTGCGTGTAAGCATGTTAGTTGTGTAATATGAACTTGATGAGAGTCGCTGAAGAGGAAGAACGCATATGGTTAATACCAGCTGAATGGGATGTGGCTGAAATGTTTCCTCAAACCGGTTTGTGTTTTTCTCCCATGTTTTGGAGTTTTCTTCAGCTGCCTAATATTGATCTCTCACTGAGACCAACATTACCGCTGACGCTGTTGTGACATTTATTTTGGGTTGCTTAATGGTGATAACTTATCCATTTAATTGCTCTTACTTCAGTCTTAGTTATTGCCACAAGTTTACCATAATTGTGTAATTTACCATGGCATCATCCTCCAACGCTAAAAATTCCATTCATTTTGTAGCTGCATTGCCACTGTAACTAATTATGATTCAATCTCAAGCAATCATTTGTAATTGCTAGGAAAGTGGTAACAAATGTTTAAGGAAATGGCTTTCTGAACTGCAAGCAATAAGGCTTTTCGGTACTGAATGTGCAAGGAAAAACATCTAGTAAAATTACAATAATTATAACATTTGGTCAGTTATTACTTCGCAATGATTATTTTGTAACCACATTCAGTTAGCATGAAAGGGTTGATAGAGCTATGACTTAGCTACATGCTGGTAACTCTTGACAACGGAAAGGTCAAGGTTAATCTTGGCACTCTAGTTCTCACAAAACAAGTGCACCTCTCATATTTCAGCGTGCATGGTGTCTCTTGGCGTCTCATTCTAACCCTACACAGTCTTCAGAACATTGACTTCACAGTTTTAGATTTGATCATTTGGTGAAATCACAGTATCCTATTTTCCTATCTTTGACCTTAAGATGAGTTCCTTACAACCTAACGTTTACTATTACCAGAACACATTGGGCCTGAGAGGTGTCCGACTGATACTACAACTCATCAGGTGTATATTTGTATCTTTTCAAATATTTCTTCCACGAACAGATGAAGTATTGGCTTGTTTTTTACTTGTTGACATTGCATTTTAGCTAATGCTCTTTAGTCAATTCCCTTAATCCACAGAGGACGTTATTAATCTCATGATTTGATCAATGTAATGGGTAGATGAGGGCCTCAACAACATTCTCACTCATTAACGTGTCACTTTTTGCCTCCCTAAAGATTTGTCTTATTTTCAATTAAGACAATTCAAAAACTTTTTGTGGAGGTGGTCTTTATTTGTGTGAGATGACCCACCTGTGCTTCAAAAACTCTTGAACCCTTATGTCCAAGTAAAAACATGAAAAAGTCTTACATCTATTAGAGTTGACTGTTTTTGAATGTGCTGATCCGGTATTGGTCCAACACTGGCAAAATCACTGGACCGGATCACGGGGAAAAGGAGTTTAACCAATCATTGAGGTGGAGGCCACATCAAGTGTAATGTTATATGTGAAGTGGTGCCGAGCAAACTAGTTTTCCCCACACCGCACAAGCGATTTACAGTTTCAGTGTGTACATCTAAACATCATTTGACCTTAACATCAAAACAGAGTGAGGACGGGCCTTTAGCCTACTCAGTATGCAGATTAGAAGTTCTGCTTGAGTACAACAAAGCTCTGTTTTGAACAAAGAACAAAAGAACAATTCGTCATCCTCCCCACGTTCATTCTTTCATCTTCCCCAGCCATTGTTTCGGGGGTTATTTAATCCAACATCCTACAGATCTTTGATAACATTTGACAAAGAAGCTGCAAATAGGGTTTGTAATGTTCATGTAATGAACAATAACTTAACAAGGTGTTTTGAATACCTAAAGGTAATATGTATATTGAATTTTAAGCAAAAAATATAGATGTATTAAGATTTTATCTTTTTTACAGTTGTTATATTTTGTAAAATACCACATCCCCCATGTGCCTCTCTCCCTCAGTCCCAGGCTGTAGCGAACGCCCCCCCCCGTCCGAGCCTGAGGATGGAAGCGATACTTCGATGAGCTCCTTCGGCCTCTCGGTCCGGGGCCTCCCTCTGGCCTTGGCGTCCATGACACAAGCTACCGCCTCAGACTCACGCTTCCACCCTAAATGGCGGGCGATCACAGTTGCGACCCTGCTAGCTTTAGTGCTCATGCTATACCTGAACCGGACAGTAGGGGGCAGAAACACTGCTACAAGAGGTGACTATCGCAACGGGGTTCACAGTTTGCAGATGCACAGCGAGGGTGAAGTGGGCCTCCTCAGGGACATAAACAGACAGGCTGCAGGAAACCCCTCCCGCCACCAGAGAGGGTTAAGACCTTACAACGACACGTACCCGTTAAGTCGGCCGGTGAAGACGGAGCACGGCATCCGCTACCGTATCGCCGTGATCGCAGATCTGGACACAGCGTCACGCAGCTCTAAGGACCAGACGTGGTTCAGCTACATGAAGAGAGGATACCTTACTATTTCAAACAGTGCCGACAGACTGGAGGTGGAGTGGGACGCTGACACGGTCACGCTGGAGAGTCATCTGGCTGAGAAAGGACGAGGTACAGGGACATTAACAAACACACTATTCTCACAGTAGAATGTTGGTTACCTCAATGTGTCTTTGTCCCGGTGTTGCAGGTATGGAGCTGTCTGAGCTGGTGGCATTCAACGGTCACCTGTACAGCGTGGACGACCGTACCGGCGTGGTGTACAGGCTCGAGGGCAACCAGGCGGTCCCCTGGGTCATATTACCCGACGGGGACGGCTCCGTCTCCAAAGGTCAGTCCGAAAATATGTCCATATACCACTATCCATGTATTTCTATATATCTGATTCTAGAAATGAACCAACAAAAGTAGTGCATTGAAGCCTTTCTTATATTGTTTTGGTGTTCAAGAGGTTAACTAGTGCTGGGGGGAAACGATTATTTTGAAAACGATTAATCGGGCGATTATTTGATCGATTAGTCGACTAATCGAACGATTATTTTTCTGTTGTTCAATTCATAAAAAACGTAATGTAAAAAAAAACGTAATGTAAAAAATTTTTTTTTCACGATACTGTGTCTCAGGGGATCTTAATATTTAAGAACCTATGAATGTGTTATACCAGATTAACGGAAATAATCTCAGCTAACTGACGATACAAACCATGTTTACCAACACAAAACAAAACACAAGTCTCATAAGAAGCAAACTAAAATGCTATCTAAATGACCCCTGAGCGAAAAATGCTAACGGAATTGGCACAGAACTCAAGATAAAAGTACCCTTATTACTTATCGTAGCTGCACATACAATATAGCCGATTAAAGCTGAGACTCCACAGATTATGTAGGTACATAGTATCATCACTGAGTGATCCGGACTCGCGACAGGGGAAGCAAATACAGTCATCACAACACGTACCTTCACAGAGCTTCTAAGGAGATCGTCTCACCGCCGTAGCTGTCAATCTGATCAAAAGACGTGTTCAATGGCATTAAAATGAGAAAAAACGCAGCTGAATCGGTTAATCCATAGGTTTTTAACGTCTATGTATAAACAAATTATTGAATTTATAATCCATAATTCCATTTTTATGTAAAAATCGGAGAGCAAATGCTAGCTGCTAATGGTTTCCACCACAGCTAGCTGCTGCTTCCGGTCAAGCAGCAGTCTCAGTGAGATATAAATATATAAATATCTTTGCATTTTGGACTAACTTTAAAATATTCCCATGCTTTTGAAGACCTAGGGCAAGATGTTTTCGTTTGAGGGCTTCGTGCGCAATCCTGTGAGGAGGAGTTGGTAGCCGTTTCAGTCTCCATTGTGTTTGAAGTGCGATTGCGAACTGCTTGTTGCTTTGGGTGACCCACGTGTGTGTGGCGTCATACAGTCTATGGTGGCGACGCGTCGACGCGGAAATATGTCGTCGACGATATTTTGAAGTCGACGCGTCGCTACAGCACTAAGGTTAACAAATCACTCCTTGCTTTGTGTGCAGGATTCAAAGCAGAGTGGCTGGCAGTGAAGGATGAGCACCTGTATGTTGGCGGCCTGGGCAAAGAGTGGACCACCACCACTGGGGAAGTCGTCAACAACCACCCAGAGTGGGTGAAGGTTGTCGGTTACCATGGTGACGTGCAGCATGAGAACTGGGTGCCCCACTACAATGCCCTGCGGAGCGCCACAGGGATACAACCACCAGGTCAGGACTTTTCTTTATAGTCCTGTCAGATACACTATCACTGTTGGTATTGGATCTTATCAGGGGCACTGATGGTGCAGTTTGAGTTTCAGATGTTGGGGGTTCCTTATTAAAAAAAAAAAAACAGGAAGAACAATGCTGTATATAAAATCACCATTCATTTCACCGGAGGATAACGTTTTTTGCAACTTCTTTAATGAAGAAAAAGTTGAGAATTTACAATTCAACCTAAGAAAATATCCAAGTTGTTTTTTCTTTTATCTTGTAAATTCTAGGTTTTTTTCTCAGAATATTACACCCCCTTTCCTATCTCCATATTGTTTGTTTTTTAAATATCTACAACAGACCTAATACACTGTCTGGTCGAGAGATGCAGAGGGAAAATGTAGATGTTTTGAAACTTAAAGATTCTCTCATCTGTATTTTGGCTGCTGGACAGTTATGGCGCATTTCCACCGCAGACCTCGCTCGACTTAGTACGGGTTTGTTAGGCCTTGTTTAGGCCAGGCTCACTTTATGCTGCGTTTCCATTACAGTTTAGGAACTGGGGCAGTAACTATAGTAACGCAGTGTAGGCGGAGCCGTGACGTCATCTTCAATGAGAACCACAAAAACAACATCAGCCGTTAGCTGTTAGCCCTCAGAGCTCACAGCTCCTCATATCTGTTCAGAAACTAGACAAAAGTTAAACAAGTACAAACCACAGACTGTCTGTGTCATGGCGAATACAGTCGCTGGTTTATTTATGTCTGTATAGGCCGTTGTTGTGAGTGTGGACCAAGCCCCCAGGAAGTGCGCCGGAGTCTGATGAGAATATTCGTGCTGGCCAAACGGCGGTACTACACTTCCTTTTGGTTGCTGGGCCCGGAAACACTTTTTCCCATTGACTTACATTGGGAAAGAGTGGTCTGTAACTTGTTGGATAATTTTTTTTAAACTAAATAAACAACCCAGTATGAACACTTGTATAGCCCTTATTAAAAACATTCGTTCCTCAAGTTGTAAAAATGTGCTAATAACGTTATTCTGAGAGTTATTTCCCTCGGCATTATGAACGCGCATCTACAGTAACCCACGGGACCGCGCCGCCCGGCACGTTCAAGTTACGTGTTCAGCACTACATGCGTTTCTCTTTACCCATGGATGCACAATAAGAACGGACCCATATCGCCTTACTGCCATCCCACGGAGCTGTAATAATGGATATATTGCACATGTTTGCTGTAATTCATAATTTGTAAAATATTATACTACATGGGCTGTATGATGTAAATCTTGTACCGTAAATGTTGTATTAAATAAAGTTAATATTACCGACGTTAGATTAACGTCCCTGTATCTTATTATTGCACTAAGAAGCTTATTGCACTGTATATAAATATGCTATATATAAATATATATATATATATATATATATATACACAGTGCAATAATTCTTTCATGCTAAATGAAGCTCTGTTGGATATCACTAGATCCTGTTACAGCGTAATATAAGTACATAACGATTGATGTTACATTAGCATAATTACTAGCTAGCCGCTAGCTGCCGCCTCGTTAATATCAAATCCATGATAACAACAAACTATTACCATGCTGTCATGAACGCACGATGCTGTTACGTGTACGCAAATTGACGTGCTTGATGTGAACGAGCATTTTGGTTAAAGTTGCGCATGCTCTATGAGTGCACATACGGGTACTTCTCAGGCATGCTGGGTAATCTGTGACGTTTCGCTCTCTCAAAAGTTGGGCCATTTTGTCATCATGCGATTATGAGCAGCTCTCATAGGAATGAATGAGGCCCCGCCTCCCACGCTGTATCCAGTTCTTATTATACATCCATGGTGTGGACGGTCGGAGCATATATTGCGTTAGCTTAGCCGATCTCCATTTAGACAACAAATCAAATCAAGTTTTATTTATATAGCACATTTTTAAACGATTTTTGGTCGAGCCAAAGTGCTGTACATATAATAAAAATACCCTACAGTAGAGACACTTTACAGCAAATACAACAGCACAGTTTGTGCAGAATATCAGTATGAGAAAAACGACACCCTCTATCCTTAGGTCCTCACATCGTACAAGGAAACACTTACATGAGAAAACCCACAGTTTAAGGGAAAATGGGAGAAACCTCAGGGAGAGCAACAGAGGAGGGATCCCTCTCCCAGGACGGACAGACGTGCAATAGATGCCGTGTGTAAATCGAAGAGATAATACATTTTACAGCATATAGACCGAATGTTAGGAAATGCATGTGTCTGTAATAAGAAGATGCATCACGCATTTTAAAGGGTTTTTCGCCTGCCGTCTGTCTGCAGACTTGTCAAAGCATTAATTCATGGTTTTTACTAACCGGTATGCTGTTACTTCGGCATTATTTTGAAACGTGTATTACAATTAAATCACGGTCAAATATGTTCATCTTGTTGTAGTTGTAGCCCCCTTGCCAGCGATTCTCTCTCTAGTTTAGCATACTCAGCCCGACTCAGCCCTGTTTGTTGGCCCTGATAGAACCACGATTTTGTCGGGCCAGAAAAAAGGTGAAAAAGTAGCCCCGGGCCGGAACTAGGCATAGTGGAAACGCAACCAAAAACGGGCCCGGCACGACACGGCACGCTTAAACCGCGCCATGGTGGAAATGCGCCATTAGAGGACATTTTGTGAGTGAATCACCACCAAGGGGTGGGATAGTTGGGAACAAATATATTTTGAGGAGTAAAAATAACACCCATGAGTGTTACATTTGGTCTCCATAACTCCTCATACTCTTCTTCACTTTATTACCTGTCCTTGTCCTATAGGCTACCTTATCCATGAGTCAGCAGCGTGGAGCGAGCGTCTGCAGCGTTGGTTCTTCCTCCCTCGGCGTGCCAGTCACGAACACTACGAGGAGGCAGCGGACGAGCAGCGTGCCGCCAACCTCCTCCTGTCCTGCCCCGCAGACTTCAGCTCCTTCACAGTGCGGCACGTCGGACCGCTCAACCTCATCCGCGGTTTCTCCTCGTTTAAATTTGTCCCAGGCACAGACGATCAGATCATTCTGGCCCTGAAGTCAGAGGAGTACGCAGGCAGCATCGCCACCTACATCACTGCCTTTACGTTAGATGGCCAGGTGCTGATGCCCGAGACACAGATAGGGAATGTGAAGTTTGAAGGGCTGGAGTTCATTTAAGAGGGGCAGAGCTGGAGGTGTGCAAGGTCTAGGAGATTAAGAAGTGGACTGAATACGTGCAACACTCTTGTTTTAAGTCTTTGTATTAAATTCCCCTCAGTTCTGCTGTGCAATAATGTGACACTACTTATATTCCAGATGAGTCTGGGTCAAACAAACAATATAAATAAGGAGCTGTCAGTGTATGAAACCCCAGGTAATGTGGATCTCTTCCTCTGCAGCCAAACGCTGCTGCTCAGACACTCAGGATAACATACTTTTAAAGGATGGAAATAAATATCCTTTAACTACTTGAAATATCAAACTCACTCAATGCTCTGTGCTTTATCTTACCTGATCAGACACACTGAAAGCTCATATATAATTTATATTAATGTAATGGGTTTATTTACTTGATGCATATCAACTTCTGATTCATAAGCCACATGTGATATTTTTTCAACCTCACGTTTCTCACTTATTTTAAATAAACTGAATATTATAAGCTTCTCAGGCCAATATGTGAAGCACCAGCTATTACAATTAAACTGTAACATTTCTGTAATCATTTTGTATCCTCTCAAAATACAAATATTTAAAATATATTCTCTTGTTTCAATGTGTGTTATGTATTCATCTTATTTCAATGAGTCCGACAACAAATAAGAAACTTCAGGTTGGATAAATGTGTTAACATTTATTGTGCTGGGTTAAAACAATTAATTCATCTTAAAAAAGTATCTATACATTTTAAATGTTCTAGAAAATCAGTAGTACATCAGTGTTACCCTTTTTTATTTTATACAGTAGTTTTTGTTGCAAATGTCCTAACAAACTAATGTTACAGTGTTGGAGATGGCTACTAAAATTACACGAATAATTATCTGATACTAAGAAATGATGACGGATTGCAGTTTGACATGCTGCAAAGTTAGCAAAAAACATTCAAACCTGAGGTAAATCCTTGCGATGATTTTCGCAAAGGCTTGTTCACAGGCTTGTTCCCATGGCGATGATGTCCTGAGGAAGCCCGGCCATGGTTATGGGTTTGAAGAAGCCCAGTTTAGGATACAAGTCGAGCATCCTCCGATCGCTGTGCCTCACCTCACAGAACACGCCTCTGGAACCTGAAAGCAATACCGAGATGGTGTTTCAGATGTATTTCATATTCATTTAACAGATACAATCGCTCCATGTTTGAACAAATGTGTGCAGTGTCAGGGGATGCAAAGCTCTACATCTCAGCAAGGAATTGTTGATTTCTTCACCTGGAAACATCTAACATCAAATATCATGTTGGCAGGTAGCTGGTGTGACAATGACATAACAACTCTTCCTTGTGCAGAAAATGGTGTATTTAAGGGAAACCTTACCATAATATCTAATTGAATATATTTCCTCTTAGCTGAAGTGCTATTTATGAATCGTGTGAGTTACCGGGATATCATATATTCTCCAATATAATGATACTAGATGGCCCTTGGCTTCTGGTGCTTAAAGTGACAACAGCAATTTCTCTCTCCAGAAACAGGATTCAAAATAAGATGCAGTTGTGAGAAGTTTCAAGTAGGAACTATTCTCTCTTCTGCTCAGTGTGCATCTTCTCATGGACGAGAGGCTGAGATTACATTTCATTTCATTGAGCTGACACTTTTATGGCGTGTGTAATTTGGTAGAAAGATTCCTACATGTAAGTGCTGTAACCACTAACTTGGTCGTGATATCTGGAAAGAGACATTGTTGTATTGTTTTTTGGAGGGGTCTTTGAACTGCACAACCTAAAGGTAACCCATTTCCATTATATTAGAACTACGGTCGATACCTCCAACATGATTATTCTGCGGTGCGCTGTCTCTTTAAACCGTGTGAATTGGTTGTAGGCCAGTTCCGTGAGCACTATCAAAAGGCATTGTGCGAGGCCTTGACCTACCACTGCTCCTGATGGAGGACAACAACCGACCAATCATGCGCTTGGCTGGAGAGGGATCAGCGACCCGGGGCAACACTTGTATGGTGACCAGGGAGGGGAAGTCCTGGAACACTGAATCACTTACTGCCCTCTAGAGGTACAAGATAAAACAAAATACATGTCATTCATTACATCTTTAAAAGGTCCCCTATTATACTGTTTTTCATCAATATATTATAGGTCTCAGATATATACATGTCTCTGAAGTGATTGGCTCCAAACACCAAACAGATCATTGTAGCATTACCCATAATCCCCTCTGTTTGAGCCCTGTTTCAAAAGTGCTGATTCTGTGTCTTTTACTTTAGATGAAAATAAGTAGTCCCTCCCCACGCCCCTCTGAGAGATATTTGGTTAAAAAGAACACAACGGTGCTCTAGGAGGAGATTCAGGTGCTGGGGGGTGGGGGGGGGGGTACCGTGGTTGGTGATTGACTGATGGTTACACAAGCCAAAAAAAACGTTATGACATCATAAAGTGGCCAAAATCTGATCAGACAGGTTTTTATATAAATGGATCAGGACAAAAAGAGAAGGGGTATTTTTTCCTGAAACGTTCAGAATCTCTTTACACAGAGGGGACACATGTTTATTAAAGACATGAAAAAGTGGATTTTTCATAATAGGTGACCTTTAAGTTGTTATTCTGGAAAAAAACAACTGGTTGCATTTGATCACCTGAATCCTGGCAGCAGCTGGTTTGGCGTCGGTGAGTGCGAGGGCGTAACCACACACCCCCATCTCATCCTCCAGGACCAGAGCACACTGAGGGGAGGGGGGGATTTCCCCTGCTGAGAGGCTGCAGCGGGACACAGGCAATGTTAATGTTAAGTATGAAAGCATGAATACTTACAGAGAGAGGATGTGACTCTTTCTCACCCATCACAGATGAGGGGGGGCTGCATCATCATGGGGACTTTGCCCTCTCCCACACTCTGCATCTCTCTGAAAATCCTTTGTACCTCCATCTAGTGCAGAAAACTAAACTGTAACATCAACTGCTGATCTTTAACAAAGAGATCACATATCGGCGGCGACAACAAGCCATACAGACAAGCACAATCTGAAGCATAGTCACAACTGGAAGTATCTGTGGATTTATTAATTCAGTATCAGTGACACGTAATGATGGTAACTAATGGCGCGTTTCCACTGCAGCGGGGTAGCCCCGTTTAAGCGTCCCTAAGCGTCCTCGCTCTGGCCTCGGGCTGCCTCGCTGGCCGGCCCAGGCCGTGGCGCATTTCCATTACAGTTTAGGACCTGGGGTAGCAACGCAGTGTAGGCGGGGCGATCGGCTTTGTTTTTGTTCACATTTCGAGTTGTTCCGTCGAGCTCCCGCTGGATTTGATCATCCCCAATGAGATGTAGGAACGTCGTCACCTCCTCGGTCGACCACGGTGTGCTTTTCTTAGAAGTAGCCATTTTTGTAGCTCATCCGTTTACAAAATGCTGTTTATAAAAATGCTGCAAGCTTGCTTCTAGATATATATGCGACGCTAGGGATGAACTCGCGCGCAATCTTGTGACGATTCTCTCTGACCAATCAGCAGTCGAGAGTGTTGACGTCACTAGTTCAGCCCTGGCCCTGGTCTGAGGGAACCACGATTTTATGGGGCCGGAAAAAGAGGGGAAAAGTACCCGCTGGCCGGTACTAGGCTATATGGAAACGCCACCAAAAACCGGCCTGGCCGCTTGAGGACGGTTAAGGACGCTTAAACGGGGCTACCCGCTGCAGTGGAAACGCGCCATAAGAGCCACCAACGTTCCCGTGCTAACACACATATATATATACAGTCTATGTACATACTGTAAGGTGACATACATCCTGCAAGTTCTTGTGTCTGAACCAGCCCTAGCCTCTGCTCATCCTGACATCATTCAACATAGTAAGTGCTCTGATAGCGCTATGTTCTTATGAGTTATCTGATCAATAAATGTATTATTTGACTATGAAACCGTACCTCATCTACAGAAGCTGCCGGACATAATATATTGTAGCAGTAGCCTGCATTAGGGAACATCGGTGTGAACAATACTATAGGGGACCAATTATTACCTGCTGTCTCTTGTATCATATCATCAATGCTGGCATCCTCACCTTGTCCTCAGGGCAGAACATCCGTATGCTGTAGACCGACGTCATGAGAGGATGTCTGAACAGGTCCCTGTTTCCGTGGCAGGGCAGCATTCTCTGACAGAACACATATTTAGTTCATTCATATTTATTTTGACCTACGCTGATGGATAATTAAGTGAGAACACAACACTTGTCTTATTAAGGATGTCTATTACTGCACACTGGGAAAATGGCAAATTCATTGTGATATTAGAATAAGAAAACATTTGAAATGTGTCTTTATACTGTTTTTAGATAAAGTTACCTGGAACTCTCCAGAGAGGCCTCCTCTGAAACCCCAGGGTTCAGGATCAGTGTTCAGCAGCTGGGCTGCGGGGCGAGCCTGCCCTCCTGGAGAACACATTAACACAAGTGATGCTTAAGAAGGTCAAATTTAAGGATTAACATGTGCTAGATTATAGATACGCGAGAATCCAATTGCAGCAATGTTTTTGCTTCAACCAATTCACTTTTCATTGAAGTTGCTCCCTAAATACTGTCTTTTTTCTCCTCTCAAGGAATACTTCACCCAGAAAATGACCATTTCTATATTAATTACTCACCCCGTCTTTCCTGGAATGCTGAAAGAAATGTGTTTTTCTTGCATGCATACGCAGTGAACAAAGAATCAAAAATATGATTATTGCTGAATTAGTATAAAAAGTAAATCGGGGGATTATCCTTTGACATGGCTACAGCTGCCCTATCCTGTGTGATTTGATGAGCATTTTCTCACCGACTGTTTTCACGTAGGCTCGAGCCAGGTCCACCCCACTCTTGATGTCACAGATGTAGTTGTAGAGGTCGTACAGAATGCTGCGGTTGGGGGCGTTGGACAGACGGTTGAACATCTGCACCACCGCTTCGCACAGGCCATCAAACTGCTGTGCTCTTGAGCGCCATTCCGCGGTCTAAAAAAACACAGTTAACGCATGAAATCACAGAAAACCACGGTCATTATCTGCTTTTGGTTGTAAATATAAAATCATCACTACCTTGTCCGTCTCGGCCGCCGCGGCCCAGCTGTGGTTCTTGAGCCAGTCCAGCTCCTGCAGCATGGTGCGGGCGGTGGGGCCGTGTTCGTACGGCAGGTAGAAGAGCTCCGACAGCAGCTTCAGGTCCTCCAGGGTGAGGGGCTCGGCCGTGTACAGAGGGTTCTCCCCAGGTCCTGGGATATAGGAGCCCTCCCCCATATCTGTCTGCATGGGCTCCTCCTCTGAAACCTCCTTCTTCAGACGAGCTGGAGGACGACAGGGGCCTGGAAGGACGAGGAGGGGGACATTAGATGCTTTGTTCTACTGGGACACCCACCCCACCCCTGGCCTTAACATTAAAGGTCTCCTATCATCCAAAATGCACTTTTTAATGTATTTTATACACAAATATGTGTCCCCGGTGACTCACAAAGTATCCAAAAATACAACCCTCATGAGGGATGGCTAGAATGGGTGATCTGTTTGGTATTTTGAGCAAACGTTTCATAGAAATGTTTTTTATATATCTGAGAGCTATAATATATGCCTACAAATAGTATAATAGGAGACCTTTAAAGGGTTCTTTCATGACTCTGTACCTCCAGGCTGGTCGGTGCTCATGAACTCCTGCAGCCAGTCGGTGAGGGCCAGCGTCAGGGCTTTCTGGGGGCTGTAGCAGGGGTCCTGCTCCTCATCGTCTGGGGATGGAGGTCAGAGACAGTAAGACAATAAGAAGAATTCTCACTTCTATATATGTAATAAGTTCCCAGGCTTTTGCCATTGTATTGATATTTTATTACAGCCTAATTTTAAGCAACAGAAGCCTGTTTTGATGCCTCCATATAAGTTACATTTGGAAGATCTTGTCTTTTTATGCATAAAAAAACGTCAGGGACAGACTGCCGCTCCCTCCACACATTTACTATTTAAAGTTTCATTGCTGTTATATAAAAGCACAGTCAAATCTTAGCTGAGATTTTCTGCAAATATGTCAAAATGTAAGCATGCATTCAAAAGGAAAGATATTTTTATTTCTAAAAAAAACTCACCCATTTCCACATCCCTTTGTCTTCCATCAGCAGTTGCTTTGCACCACGTAGCTAATGTGTGGATGGCCACAAAGTTTGGGTAGAACTCGCAGTTGGGATTGGTGAGGACCCCTCTCAGTTTGGCGATCAGCTCAGTAGGACGATCCTGACAGGAAACATACAACGTTAATAATTATTAGATACGGATAAGACTATAGGCATCTAAAGGTACTGACTTTGAAGGGTCCGAGGAAAAGCCTTTGGGGGTCGTAGTCGTTTGCGTGGATATTTTCCCAGATGACTGGCGGCCTCCTCAAGACGGAGGACACCTCTTCTATGGACTCAACGGAGATTTTGTGGGATACCACTTTGGGACCTTAATAACACAAATAACCGAGAAAGAGAGAGTAAAAAAAAAACGTTGTATAACTGTACATTTGATTATGTCTGTAGCGTACGTATGAAGGCGTGTGGCGCAGTGGATAGAGCGTTGGTGTTCGGAGCAAGGGAGCAAGGTTCAAACCCCACTGCAGTCAGCATGTCGTTGTGTCCCTGAGACACTTCACCCCAAATTGCTCCTGTGGGGATTGCCCACAGTATTGAGTATGTAAGTCGCTTTGGATAAAAGCGTCTAACAAGTAACATGTAATGTAGCGGTATAGGACAGCCTCACCAGTCCACAGTATGTCTATCCCAGGCAGCAGCTTCTCCCCCACAGTGTGCAGGTAAGAGGACTGGAGCACGCTGGGGGTGCAGAACGCAGCACAATAATCTGGAGGGACAGAGCAAGTGTAGATGACGGGAAACAGTGACAGATTATGAGTTTATCATGTAGAAATGAAGGGATCAAATGTTGTTTCCATAGCTTGAAACTCCCCAGGCTGTCTTTAAAGGGGCTTGATAATATCTGGAATATTTTTACAGAAACGACACGCTTACGGCCTGACCTGTGGGACAGAAGAGGAAGGTCTCGGGGTCTCCTAGGTGCTGGTACACCGCATTAGTGATGGCCACCTGAGCGTAGGCGAAGGAGCTGAAGGCCTTCTTATCAGCCGCACACATCTCAGTCTCGATGTCATCGAAAAGTAAAGAGAAGGACCTGCAGCCAAACTGCCTCACCTGAGGGGGGGGGAGAGCACAGCTTGGGCTTTGGAGAAATCTTTAAGTCATTTGGTTTTCCTAATCCCTACATCACCATTTTGAAAAATGAAATTATCCACTAGTTATAAACCAGCTACTAGGAGTGTAAGTGCCATCAGTTGCACGTTGAGCTCCTAGCTTTGTATCTTCTATTTTACGGCTGCATTTCATATGAAGTAATATGGTGTCCAGCGCAAACCCTTTAAAGAGCCATAAAGACACACACAGCTGAGATGAAATGATCTCTCCTGCTGCACCCTTCATCTGCGCATAACAAGTCCTCACCTGATCCAGTTTCCTCATCAGGGCGGTGGCCTCTTTGGGGTTGGAGAAGGTAATGTCCAGGCCGGGAGAGATGGCATAGATGAACTCCACGTCGTGCTGTTTAGCAGCTGATATCAGGGCGATGAGTTGTTCTGGGAAAAGAATGGAATATGACAAAAATTGAAGGATTGTATAAAGACTTAAGCAATGCCAACCAATCAAACGTTTTCAACCCACAGGGAGATTTGTGGGCCAATCGTGTGCCTATATTCTCAAGTCTGTGATGATGCCAACAGAAATTGAAATCTGCCGTTTTGTGTACACCATGTCCGACATTATTCCTGCCTGCGCATCCTGCATTTATGTGATGGCCACCGGCAGTATCTGTTATGACCTGCTCTCAGAGAGTCCTCAGAGACATGATAGTTTTAATGGGTCAAACTTCATTTTTGATAAGATGCACCCAATTAACAAAGGAGAGGCTCTGAACTGAGCAATTAAACAATGTGTTTATGGAGATGATGATGACTCACAATAGGACTTTGGTATGACACCGTGTCACAAATGTTATCCACTAAACATAACCTTGATGCCATTATAAACTACAAGTGCCAGTTAAGGATATTTGTAGTTTCAGACCTCGTTTTATTCTTCAGGTAAGATTAGCGGACATTTGTGCATTCTACCTATGTGTGGGTAGGCTAAAATATGGCTAAAATATGAGTATAGTTTTGAATTGAGAGGTCTGAATGAAAAATAGTCCAAACCTAATTACTGTATATAAATCAGTAAGAAATATAGTATTTGCAACCTTTGTTTTAGTAGGAATTATAGGCACTTTTTTCTATACAGACACTTAACTTCTTAAAAATACTAACTTTAAAAATATCCTACATGGGATATGAATGCTTGGGGGAGTAGAAATATATACCAAGGGAAAACATGGATACTCAGTAAATGTAAAAAAAAGTGGTGGCCCAAATGAACAATTTTCTTCTGATTCCCTGAACATTCTACTAAACTAAATTTGTCTTGCTCCTGAGATGGTTTGAAAGTCCTGCATGATTTTTGGTTGTTGGCTGGTCGCAGAATCCAGATCTAAGACCGACAGAGGTTATTGGAGACTCACCTGCCTCCTCTGCAGAGTACAGGTCCCTCCAGTACATCCTGTGTTTGTAGTCATTCTTGGGGGCGTACAGGTACGTGTTCAAACCCCACTTCTGTTCTCTATGAAACACCAGTAATGAACAATCACAGTATTACATAAATTATTACATGATAAGAGATGATTGTAAGTAGCATCAGGAGACAACAAATGTGTGTCTTAACATTGATTGTCCAGTGTTGTCCCCTGTACCCAAATAAACCCATCAGTAAGGGACAACGTCCAATATGAAGCCCTTTTTATTACAGGCTTTGTTTTTTGCAACCTTTAGTTTTGTTTGATGCAGTTGTACTCATATATCCCATACCTTTTAAACAGCTCTGTTCTCTGCTCCAAAGTCCATGGCCGCCCATAAAAACCTGCATAAAGCAAAGCTCAAGTTAAGCACCAAACCTTACCAGAAGTGATCAATATAATACTGATACTCATTTATAAAATATATATGAAATTCATTCTGTTACAGCCTCATGATGCTGTACTGTATTGTTATTGGGGTGGTCCTGTGTGGGACCCTGTTGCCAGTCTGCTTACCTTCCACCACCCCGCTAATGAACCGCTTCCCCCCGGTGTTGGCTTGCCGGTGCCCCACGCCACTGCCCGGTGTAGACATGTTTTCAGTTTAATGTTGAGTTGTGTCTACTTCCAGCTCACTAATGCTCAGACAGCAGCTCCAGCACTGACAGCGCTATTATCATATGTTTGTGTGCCAGTTTGTGCTTTTATTACACCGTTCTCTCACGCCTGCGCAGAGCAGTCGATTTAAATCGTCTGCAACATGGTCTAAAGTATGTAGTTGTAAATGCTGCGAGCAAATAATAAAAAAGAAGCTCTTCTTGTTTTGTGATGACAGTAGTTCACCACAGCAGGCGCGTGCGGGACTGAACGTGACTACCGGGTAAACGTCTTAAAGGGACAGTGTCCCTGTAGCTTAAATCTCATCTTTAAGGATCTCCATTTTATATTTAATGGTGTTTGATGATAACTCTACTAGTAATCATCAATTGTTTGAAGTTGGCTACTCTTTCATTAGAAAAATGTCAAACTTGAATTTGCACGTGTTTAAAATTCTATAAACTAAAAAAGTTCAGGGAATGTTAACCCTTATGTTGTTTCAAGTTAGGGTTAGTTATGTGTTTTGGGGCCATAAAATATAATTGCAACAGGATTGTACGGTTATGAATGCATAATAAGTGAGTTAAAACAATATTGGATGATAGTCATTATTTTTGAGTGTTTTGGACTGTGATAAATTGAACGGTAACAGCTTTCAAACACAACACAAATAATATGAATTACAGTAAATGCATAGATGTAACTCATTACATAAACAATGGCTCTGTTTCAATTAGGTGTGCTAAATAGCCATGTTAATAACAAGTGGGGACCCACGGGCCCTGGAAGTGGAAATTAATTGGTGGACAAGTAGTAAGGTTACGTTTATGTGATTAGTTACAGCTGTTTGGATAATTCATTACGTCTGCCACGAGAAAGGGTTATTTAAAATGCAGACATGTTAAAGCATGACCTGATAAAAAAGGTGACGCTCTGATAAAATGTTGAATATACTTCCAAGGAAGTGGCATTTATATTTCCGACATCAACGTTGCGTGGAAGTCGGAAACAGTACCGAACGAGTGGCAGACCGGGGTGGTGGTTCCCCTTTTCAAAAAGGGGGATCAGACAATTATAGAGGCATCACACTACTCAGCCTCCCTGGAAAAGTTTACTCTAAAAAAAAGGTATTTGAAAGGAGGGTCAGGCCGATTGTCGAACCTCAGATTGAGGAGGAACAATGTGGGTCGTGGAACGACGGATCAGCTTTTTACTCTCGCAAGGATCCTGGAGGGGGCCTGGGAGTACGCTTATCCGGTCTACATTTGTTTTGTAGACTTGGAGAAGGTGTATGACCGGGTTCCCAGGGAGTTACTGTGGGAGGTGCTGCAGGAGTATGGGGTGAGGGGGTCTCTACTCAGGGCCATCCCATCTCTGTACTCCCAAAGCGAGAGCTGTGTCCGGGTCCTCGGCAGTTAGTCGGACCCATTTCCGGTTTGGGTTGGCCTCCGCCAGGGCTGTGCTTTGTCACCAATCCTGTTTGTAATATACATGGATAGGATTTCGAGGCATAGTCATGGGGGAGGAGGTCTGCAGTTTGGTGGACTAAGGATTGCACCACTGCTTTTTGCAGATTATGTGGTTCTAATGGTTTCATCGGTCTGCAACCTTCAGCACTCACTGGATCGGTTCGCAACCGAGTGTGAAGCGGCTGGGATGAGGATCAGCACCTCCAAATCTGAGGCCATGGTTCTCAGCAGGAAACCGATGGACTGTCCACTCCAAGTAGGGAATGAGTCCTTACCCCAAGTGATGGAGTTCAAGTATCTCTGGGTCTTGTTCTCGAGTGAGGGAACAATGGAGCGTGAGATGGGCCGGAGAATCGGAGCAGCGGGAGCGGTACTGCAGTCGCTTTACTGCACCGTTGTGACGAAAAGAGAGTTGAGCCAGAAGGCAAAGCTCTTTGTCTACCGGGCCATTTTCGTTCCTACCCTCACCTATGGTCATGAAGGATGGGTCATGACCGAAAGAACGAGATCGCGGATACAAGCGGCCGAGATGGGTTTTCTCCGCAGGGTGGCTGGCGTCTCCCTTAGGGCTAAGGTGAGAAGTTCAGTCATCCGGGAGGGACTCAGAGTTGAACCGCTCCTCCTTCGTGTCGAAAGGAGCCAGTTGAGGTGGTTCGGGCACCTAGATAGGATGCCACCTGGGCGCTTCCCTAGGGAAGTGTTCCAGGCACGTCCAGCTGGGAAGAGACCGAGGGGTAGACCTAGGACCAGGTGGAGGGATTATATCTCTTCTCTGGCCTGGGAGCGCCTTGGGATCCCCCAGTCAGAGCTGGTTGATGTCGCCAGGGAAAGGAAAGTTTGGGGCTCTCTGCTGGAACTGCTACCCCCGTGACCCGACCACGGATAAGCGGGAGAAGATGGATGGATGGAAGTGAAATTTAGACTTGTTTGTACTCTGGCAGTTTGTCTCCTGAGAAATCTGTTACTAATAACCAAAGAAACTCAAGTTGACAATTCATGAAGATGAATGAAATCATAAAGAGCTTTTATTTTTCATATAGTAATGTACAAAACATTATCAGCAATATTGAATTTAACGAAAAACTTTAGTGGGTTCCACTAACATGCTATCAATTAAACAGTGCTACATATTTTTTACATATTAACTGTACACATTAGAAACAGCATGCGTATTAAGAGTCCAAGGCTCCAAGCATGAAGAAAACACTAACATACAAAAGTTTGCTACATAAGTATGAGCCATAAGTCTCTGAGGTCCAAGGAAACTTTGGGTTCTTTGCCACATCGAGCTTGGTGTCGTCCTCCCACACGGCTCGGTTAACTCTTTATTCCTTTCTGGGCCTGTTTTAGCAACGAATCAAAGTCGAGGTCCTCGAACCTGTTCTTAACAGGATAAGGCTCTGCATCTTTGTTTTCGTCTAAGGAAGATAAAAACATTCACAGGATCACATTAAAAAAACATATATTTATTTGTTATGTTTTTCAGAAAATGTGTGTAAAATACAGCTTTACTAAGAGAAGTTTACTAAGTTTACTAAGTTTTTTTTCCTATAAATTACTGATAACATTTCTCTGTGTTAAGAGTTCAACAGACAGTGGAATGGAATGGCTGCCATACATGTAGAGCAGTGCCTCTCAAAGTGTGGTCAGTGGTCCACTGGTGGTCCGTGAGCGCCCCCTAGTGGTCCGTGAGTATATTGGTAAAATTTCACATTTGAAATAAATACATTTCAGTTTTCCGCACTCTCGCGGGAATATCTCCGCAATGGAGTGAGTTTAAGTTTCATTGCATGATATAGCCCAGCGCAACACCTTCATCACACATGTTGCCACCTGTTTGTACCATTTGCAGGCGATTTGTAATCTGTTCTAGAAAAACAATGTGATTTTGGATATTTGTGGAGTTAGGTGGTCCGCGAGTGTTTTTGTATTGGTTAAGTGGTCCTTGGTATGAAAAAGTTTGAGAAACACTGATGTAGAGATTGAGATTCAAGAAGAAATGGGTGTGGTATGTGTGATATTTGGACGGAAACTTGACTTATGGTTGAAGTAATTAATTCACATTGTAGCAGGAATATTGCATTATAGTTCCTATGGGGCAGCTTTAAAAAAAAAAAAAAAAGAAGCAATCTAGTCTTGGGCAGAAATACACTAAACATAGATGTTCTGAAATGTCACCATCATAAATAACAGCTTAGTAAAGGTGCTGTATTGCTGTGATGTCTTGTAGTGCACAGCACACTCCCCTATGGGTCAGTATCTCTTTGCAGTATTGTTATTGCTGTGAACATAGCAGTGCCATTTTTATTCAGCTTATTTGTCAAAGTATAAATAAAAGAATAATAAAAAGTTAAGCTCCCTTGTCTGCTTGCCATCTGATTATTAAAGTAAAGTTAGTGAAACCTTCAACTCAGGCTCACTTTAGGTAGGCTGTCATTAAGGTGGACCAGCGTAGTGTAGTGACAAGCAAAATGTCAGGGAGGTATGACGAAGTAGCTACCGTACAAAGCCTGTAACAGTGAAGGGGTTTGACCTGGTACACTGACACTTTCACTGCACATAAAGCTCAATGAGGAGAAGCCTTCAATATAGCAGTGCACTCTGCACCTGACTTTGACTGTGGATTTTAGTCTCACCTAGGTCGGCGTACTGAGAGTTACAGAACTGTCTTCTTCCACCGAAGCAGATGTCAAAAGGCAGCTCATTGGGTCTCCGTAGTTTTCCGCCGTTATCGATGGCTGCGAAAGCATCGTCCATGTTGTAGAAAGTGACGAAGGCGTAGTGGTCACTGGGAACCAAAAGGTGCAGGGTTTAAATACTGATGAATGTTAAAAAAACAAAACATAATAGAACATATTATCAGTTGTGCACACTCACCCTCTATCTCTAAAGTGAAGGGACACACACTCTACTTCTCCGAACTGACAGAAGCGTTCCCTCAGCTCCTCGTGTGTCATAGTCCTGCAGATGCGGCCGACATACACCACCCTGCGCTCATCCTGTAGGGGAGGAAGTTTAAGAATTACTTATTTGTCCACTGAAAAACAAATACAATCACAGACACATAAAGCTGACATGTTATTTTTTACTCACTATGGCTTTAAGTTTCTGCATCCTGATCTCGTGCTCTCTCCGGAGCTTCCTGGACTCTCTGCTGCTGGAGGGATGAGAGGGGTATAGAGAATAGTCATTAAAGACAAATGAAAAAATAAACAGCCACTTTTCTTCTATCAATTGTCAGCATTTACTAACCTGTAAACATCTCTAAGCTTCCGACAGTAAACCCGCTGTGATGGTGATCTGGATGGGGACCTGGACTGGGACCAAGATCTGGATCTGGACCTGTTACACTTCGGCATCCTTGAGTACGACAACCTGTAGCGCCGAGGTGGGGAGCGGGAAACGGAGCGGGATGACGACGAACATGAACTGCTCTCTGAACGCTTGTGACGACGCCTGCGAGAATTAAAAATGAAGATATTAGGAGAGATGCACAAAGAGGAAGAACACAGTCTGACTGTGTACATAACACATAAGTCAGAACACATAAGAGAATAATTACTTTTGTCTTTTTGGAGAGGGAGATGCAGAGCTGGAGGAGGAGGAGGACGATGATGAGGAGGAAGCAGAGCTGGAGTCCGAACAAGGGGATCTCCCTCGATATCTCCTCCTCTCCCTGCCTCTGGAAGGAGGGCTGGGTGGAGGTGTGGGCAGAGTGCACGGGGGTGTCTCAAGACTACAATCTTGCTCGGTGGCAGCGATTCTTGAAACAACTTTGTCTGTGGACCGACTCGTCTTTGCGGAGTCATCCACAGCCCTGATGGGGGGGTTAACGTCACAGGTGGAGGTCTGTTGTTTGCATTCAGCAGCAGCGATCGAGTCACTGGTAGTCCTCTGTAATTCATCAGTTATTTTCGGCTCATCCTTGGGTTTAGATGTTCTGCAGTGCTGAGCGGCACTTGTCGTTGACCCGCAGTAATCGTGATCAATGAACACAGCCGAGTACATGGGAGGAGAGGGACGAGCAGCAGGGAGCTCTGGGAGGTTCGTGTGTGTCCTCTTGGACGGCAGAGGACGGGGGTCGATAATCTGAATGGCCTTGGACAGAGGATTTTTGCGCCTTGCTGGCTGATGTTGTTGAGTGCTGAGGATGATTTCAGTGCCGAGGGGCTTTGGGATGTCAAGTGACGTTTGAAGGTGTGGGGAGTCCCTGAGGGTTTTTGGTTTTGGTACAAGTGCTTCCACTGCAGACTGAGTTCTGTCCAAGTGTCCGTCTGTCAGTACGTTTGAAGATGAGGTAGCAAGTTTGAGCTCTTTCTCTCCAACCCTCAACCCTTGAGCTAGATGAGTGAGAAAAAAAAAATCGAGTTAGCATCTGACATCATGATGCTAATAACAACAGATCGCCACTGGGCTTACAACTAAAGACATAGCCACGCAAAAACTGCGGCATGTGTACGGCTCCTTATGGGTACTGCAATATTTGAAGTGCCGGAGCGGGGTTCCGGTGCTCTCCGTCAGCACTACACCACGTGATCACACGTTACGCTCGTGTTGTGTTCAAGGAACCTGTCTTTG